TCTGTGTAACCAAATACTTGAAGGTCCGAGGCAAGCAGCTAGCTGTTAACTCTGGAAATCTAGGTTTAATTTAATTTAATTTTAGTGGAAATTTCAGAGAAGTTGATTATAAATAGATTGTAAGAGTTTAAAATTATAACCCCAAACTGGGGCAGGGGGAGGGTCAAGTTAGATTAGATTTATCAGATTAATTTTGAAAACAAAGTAGTTATAAAAACTCTTTTTTAAAAGGTGGGGGGAAGGTTGTTTGCTTGAGAAACAGGAATTCTGATTAACTTGGCAGATAATCAAGGCTGTTTTAAATCCCTTGTTTGGTTTATTGATGAATCCTAAGCCTTTGCCGTCAACATTTTAAGTTTCTATAAAATACTACATTCTATGTTGGACCTGTCAGGATTGTTAGAAGCCAAAATGGTTAGTTCTTTTTAAAGAAAATACCTAAGGGAAAGCAGACTAGTTTTTTTTTTCTTTAATAACACAGTCCCACTTATAAGAAGGGAAGATTTAACATTATAATCTCTCTCTCTTTGAGTTGATATTAGGAGCGGGTGGAGACCTTGGTTTTGAAACTCAGCAGGTCTGGTTTTAACCTCAACCACAACCGGGTGAGCTTGGTCATATTATATCACCAGTCTTATCCTCGGGTTTTCATGTTAATCAATAAAATTCCAATGATGTACATAGTACTGTACTTTGATTTTTCGAAATTTTTAGATTGTTTTTTTAACTGATAGTAGTAATGTACTTTGAATGGAAGGTCTTAAATTTGCCAAATAGATGTCTGAACTGTTTCACTGCAGCTGGACTTTCTCAAATGCTTCTGTAAATATTTGATTACTATGTAAAAATTTTGACTGACACCTTATTTTTAAAACTATGAAGCCAATGCACATGTGGCCTCGTTTAATGAGTAAATGCCCAACTTTAACAAATATTTTGAAAAAGACATTTCAGGTCACAAAATATAAAACAATTCTGAGTTTTTGCATTATTTTATTTTATTATCTGGTGCTTACTAAGCTCTAGGCAGGTTCCAAACATGTGGGCTCTTTGCTTTTTGATTTCATGCTCAGCCTCATAATACGATCTTGACAGGAAGAATCAAAAATATCAATGAGCAGAACTAATTCCTCGAAGTCACACCATCTATCTCATGGCCAATCCTCCAGCGGTCAAAGGTCTTGGTATCTCTTCCTCTCAGATCTTGTCACTCATGTCCCAGGACTGGCCAGACCCTCGTGCAGTTAAGATATATCAAGAGGCTCCCAGCCACTGTGGGGAGCAAAGAAGCTTCTGGAAACTGGATTAAAACGTTTACTTAGGGGTCTCTTTGGCTGTACTTCCTCCTTAATTTCCCACACCTGGTAGCCACAGGATCTGGTGATGAATCTGGTCTTTGTAGCTGGCTGATTTTAGATTCAAGTTCCCGGCTCTATCTCATAGTGTTATGTAGCTTAAGCAAGTTACTTAATTTCTGTTCCTCAGTGTCCTTGTCTGTACAAGGTTGATAGTTATAATAGTGCCCACACCATCGGATGATTTTGAGAATAAAGAGATACATGTGATTCAATCAGAACTGCATATGGCACAGAGAAAGTCCTACATAAAGGCTAGCTATTATTATTCTGTTGTCGTGTTGGTCTGGAAGTAGCCCCTAAATCCTTCCCAGATGTGATGACTAAAAAGTTAATTCCATCCATCTTCTTGTGAATGAGATAATTTCATTTTTCTTTATGGCTAAATAAAACTCCATTGTGTATATATATATACCCTATTTTCTTTACCCATTCATCCATTGAGGGACACCTAGGCTGGTTCAATATTTTGGCTATTGTGAATTGTGCTGTTATAAATGTGGGTATGCTTGTATCACTGTAGTATGATGACTTGAATTCTTCAGGATAAATACAGAGGAGTGGTGTAGCTGGATCACATGGTGGTTCCATGCCTAGTCTTTTGAGGAATCTCCATGCTGATTTACATAGCAGTTGTACTGATTTACAATCCCACCGACGGTGTGAGTTCTTTATATATTCTAGATGTTAATCCTCTGTCAAAAGAGAAGCTGGCAAAGATTTTCTCTCATTCTGTAGGTATTTTCTTTACATTCCTAATTGTTTCTTTTGCCATACAGAACCTTCTAATTTGATGTCATCCTGTTTCTTAACTCTTTGCATTTCTTACTGAGTTTTAGGAGTCCTATTGAGAAAATCATTGTCTGGCCTGAAAGCTGAAGTGTTGGCCCGACATTTTCTTCTCACACTTGCATAGTTTCTGGTCTAATTCCTAGGTCTTTGATCCATTTTTAGCTTATTTTTGTGTAGAATGAGCATTAAGGGTCTAGTTTCATTCTCCTACACAGGGATAACCAGTTTTCCCAGCACCATTTGTTAAAAAAGCTGTCTTTTTTTTTTCCAATGTATATTTTTGTCACCTTTTTCAAAGATCAGATATCTGACTGCAGACGGGTGGGTTTGTTTCTGTGTCTTCTATTTTGTATCATTGGTCTATGTGTCTGTTTTATGCCAGTGCTATACAGTTTTGTTTCTATAGTTCTATAGGATAGTTTGAAACCAGGTATTGTGACGCCTCCAGCATTGCTTTTTGGCTTAAAAATGCTTTTGCTGTTCTGGATCTTTTATTCTTTCAAATGTATTTTAGGACTGTTTTTTCTAGTTCTGTGAGGAATGTCAGTGGTATTGTGGTGGGGATTACATCAATGTAATCTGTGTTCTTTTGGTAGAATGGACATATTAACAATATTAATTCTATCTTTCCATGAACATTGGAGGTCTTTCCATCATCTTCTGAGATCTCCTTCAATTTAATTCTTCAATGTTCTATAATTTACATCACAGAGGTCTTTCACCTCCTTGGTAAGATTTATTCCCAGGTTTTTTCTTGTTTTTTGAGGCTGCTGTGAATGGAACTGTTTTCCTGATTCCTTTCTCAACAGATTCATTGTTGGTATTTAGAGAAGTCGTTGATTTTTGTATGTTAATTTTTAAACCTGCTTCTTTGCTAAATTGCTTACTAGCTCTAGCTGTCTTTTGGTGGAGTTTTTTTGGATCTTCTAAATATAGAATCATATGATCTGCAAAGAGTGATAATTTGCTGTCGTCTGAAGGGAACTTCTTTTATTTTTTCTTTTTCTTTTTTTAATTTATATATAACAGCAGAATGCATTACGACTCTTATTACATGTACAGAGCTCGATTTTTCATATCTCTGGTTGTATGCATAGTATGTGCACACCAATTCATGTCCTCATACATGTACTTTGGATAATGATGACCATCACATTCCACCATCATTAATTACCCCATGCCCCCTCCCTTCCCCTCCCACCCATCTGCCCTGTCTAGAGTTTGTCTATTCCTCCAATACTCCCTTTCCCTATCCCACTATGAATCAGCCTCCTTATATCAAAGAAAACATTCGGCATTTGGTTTTTTTGGGGATTGGCTAGCCTCACTCAGCATTATCTTCTCCAACTCCATCCATTTACCTGTAAATGCCACGAAGAGAACTTCTTATTCACAATCTTCCTCTACTTCTCTAAACTCCTTAGAAAAACGTCCTTATTTTCCATCCAAGCTGAGAGTATTATTTGGATTGAAATCTGAGAAGCCGGGCCCTATTTTTGGATAAGATTGTCACACTCTGGACCACAGAAAAAAACATTTCTAAGTAATAATGAAGTCATGCTTGCTTCTCAAGGCTTATTCCTCCCCCCACTTTTTTGTTTGTTTGTTTTCAAAATTCTCCAGCACAGCTGACGGGGCCTTCCTAAACAGCATCTGTCAAATGAGGCATTAGGGAATATCTGGAAGGACAGTTCATAGGTCCATAGATTCAAGATCATTTGGAAGGAAAAGCGAAACAATACCAGGGAAACAAACATTATCTATTATTCAGCCTGAGTAATGAGTGCTAAAACACAGGGAACTGATTTGAGTGTTCCGTGTTCCCTTTAAAGGGGATTTTTCAAAGTTGTCATTCTTTTTAAATATGTATCAAGCTCACAGATTCTTAGACGGTGATACACTGACATTTTTTTAACTGAGTCATGATTTTGGCTGAAGATCAAATTTCAGGGTGTGAGGGAGTGGCTAGTTGCAAGATGTCTTTGAGTGTTTAAAATAGAAGAGAGTGTGTCCAGGAAGGAGCTAAAGGGCAAGAAGTCATTCTTAGCTCAGTCCTTGACCTGGACCTGGCTCCCTTCAGTCCTTCAGTCTAGGTAAGCATGAATTACTTATCTAAAGTTTGTAGTCAGGAAAGTATCAATAATTCATGTTGAAAGGAACGAGCTTTCTTAAGGGTGGTTGTGTTTATTAACATGCATGTAAATTTCTATATTGATTACACCTCTCCCCAACGAAAGAAAATATCATAAATGATTCTCTTACTGAAAGTAACAAGGAAAGTAATTTCTTGTTGTTTACAACCCTTCAACTATTCTTAGAGAGCCTTTGGTGGCTCTTGGGGACAAGCTAAGGCAGGGACAAATTTTTGAGGTTTTGGCGCTCTCTCTCTCTCTCTCTCTCTCTCTCTCTCTCTCTCTCTCTCTCCCTTAGTTGCTTTGTGATGATTATCTCCACATGTGCTGGAGTGTGCATTAACATGTGTGTGCACAATTCCTCTAGCCTGTGAAAATGTTTGCCATTTTATATAATATTCCACTTTCTAGAGTCTTTTGAATTTTATGGTTTTTTTTTTAATAAACATTCCTTTTCTTTGCTCTTCACTTAAATTCTTTGAGGACATTCTCATGAGACTAGTAAAATATAATTGTGAGATAGCATGATCATTGAGGTAACTTTCCCAGTTACCAAAGTTCAAAAGGAATAAATGCAATATTGCATGTCTGAAATCTGCTATTATACATGTGTACTTAATAAATCTGTTGATCAATTTTTTTCTCCTTGGTAGCCTTGAACCAGTAAAAATAATGACTAAATAATTATTTTTCTTCTGGTTTTGTATAATATATTTTTCAGTAGAGGCTTTGGATACTCTTCCTGACTGTAAATCTTAAGTAGAACAACCAATGGCCTTGTGGAGACCTTCCCCAGCCTGTACCATTCATGTATCTGGTGCAACCTCTACAGTCAGTCACCGACACTTGCCCTGGGTTGATAAACAGAGACTGGGCCTTTGGATCTTGGCAATTCTAACAGTTCCCATCCACTTCATAGAAGCTAATGGTTGTAAGTATTGCTTTTCAACTAATACAAACAAATTAATTCCAAGAGCATGTGCCTTGTTTTAAATTGCTTACTTCTAATTGTTCTGGCTAAATTGTAAACTAGAAAGCATTTGCAAAACTATCAGAAGAAATTCTCCATAATGAATAAATCATGATTTTAGATGTAAATATTCAAATACATCAGAATTTTAACTTTTAACTTTTAATTTATAAGCATTTGTTGACTGACATATCTGTTTAGGTAGACGGTTGCTTTTCCACGGGAACAGTAGGGTGAATTTGGATCCAAATGACTTCACTGATCTGTGGTACTCAGTAGAACACTTCATTAAAGATTTTACTCATTGACTTATTGTTTCTTAAAATGTCAATATATGTGACCCATTGTTAAATTTAATCCTAGATGGAAATATTAAGAGTATAAGAATTATATCATTTCATTTGATCATGTCTGTGTTCTTTATTTGCAGATAAACCATTCTGGGGCCTAGAAAATGAGGCTCTGATTGTGAGATGTCCAAAAAGAAGAGCACACCTTTCCCCTGTAGAATGGTATTACTCAAAAACAAATGAGATTATTCCCACCCAGAAAAAAAATCGTGTGTTTGCCTCAGGGGAACATCTTAAGTTTCTCCCAGCCAGCGTGGATGATTCTGGAATTTACACTTGCATCATCAGAAGGTATTATCCAGGAAGCCAACATTGTCTTTGAGCTCCCTTCTCTTTTGTTAGTAGTTGGGAGTCTGTTCCACTCTCACCTGTCTTCCTTCTCTACTCTGTTGTGGAACAGCTGAATTTATAAAGTGATTTGGATAAAAGAGTAACTCTAGGAACACCACCAGCTTGGGGCGGGGGGTGGGGGGATGCGCCAACTCTTTGGATAGGGATTCATTGGTACCCCAATTAGAAAAAGAACTAGCTTTCCCAGTTACCAAAAGAACCAAGAGCAATTGCTCCCTCTTGGCTGGAAGGAAGAATCCACTGGCACAAAACCCAGTAACCTAGACTTTTGGCATCATGGAGATTTGGGTGGGTGAAAAGGGGCAACTGGCCAGACCTTAAATCTTAGAGGTCAGCCAAGGAGGGTTGTGTGAGGTTGCATGGGCTATAGATCACTAGTCCATATATAAAGTGTTACACATTGAATTCATGCCCATATTCTTGACCTACAAAACATTAGATAAGCTACATTCAAAAGATAGCCTGAGTATAGTTACATGCCTCTGATCCCCTACCAGTTTCAAGTTCACAACCTAGTCCTAGCTAGCTGTGTGACACCAGCAAGCTGCTTCTCTTCCTGTTAGTTTCCTCTTCTGTAAAATACATGTGATAATATAATCTACCTCGAAGCATCATTGTGAGAATAAAATGAGATAAGGTATGAAAAATGCTTACCACCATGACAGGCACGTACTTTCAATTAGTACTCGTCATCATGATCATATTGGGATCATGCTTTTACAGCAGACGTAGTATATGAAGTCGTCATTTTGGAGCTGAAATAGGTGTAATGTTTTTTTTTTTTCCTCAAGAGAAATAAAAACTTCATGGTGTCAAAACTCTACATTTAAATGTTTTATTTTCCCCTAAGAAAGGAACCACTATCAATTATTATTTTATGGAGAAAAATAATATCAAGCGAAGGCTAGAGTTGACTTGTTATTTTACAATTCTGAGTAACTTTTTTTTTTGGTCTGGCTTATTTTAATAGTCCCACCTTGAATAAGACTGGCTTTGCAAATGTCACCATATATAAAAAACAACCAGATTGCAAAATTCCAGATTATTTAATGTATTCAACAGTATCTGGATCAGCAAAAAATTCCAGAATTTCTTGTCCTACAATTGACCTCTACAATTGGACAGCACCTCTGGAGTGGTTTAAGGTAAAAGGAAATTTTTTTTGGAGGGCGGGGAGTGGTGAAATACACAAAAATAGATAAAAGTCCAAAATTACTGAAAAGGGAATGGAACTTTTGTTTTAGAATTGTGAAGCTCTCCAGGGATCAAGGTATAGGACACACAAGTCATTTTTGCTCATCAACAATGTAAGGAGTGATGACGAAGGTGATTACACCTGTAAATTTATACACACTGAAAATGGAGTCAGTTACAGTGTGACAGCGACCAGATCCTTCACGGTTACACGTAAGCTTCTAACTTGGGCAAAACAGGATGTGTTAACAAAGATAACATGGGAAGAGTTGTGCCTTTCTTGTTGAGTTTCCTGCACTTTGTCCTTCCTTGTTCTTCTTCTTTCACCCTATTGTCTACATCTTCTACTATGGCAAAGAGATATCCCCAAACACTAACAAGATCTAAGAAATTCAAGGAAGATATCACACTACTAATCCAAAGCCGCATCTACTCTTTCTCTTGTGACTTAATTTTCCAAAGGTAAAGCAATGTGAATGATAATGTAGTTACTTTTATTGAATGGCAATGCAATGATCCACAGGGTATTGGTTCCAGGGACCCCCTCAGATACCAGAATCCCTGGATGCTCAAACCCTCATCTAGAACATTAATATAATCTATTCATTTATCTATGCAATAAATTATCAGTATTTGCATAGATCCTGTGTGTCTCCTCCTTGAATTCAACCCTAGGTTACTTACAATACCTGATACAATGTAGATGCTATGTGAATAGTTGCTATTCTGTATTGTTTAGGGAATAATGGCAAAGAAAAAAATCTGTGCATATTTAGCAAGGAAGCAAAATTTCCACCTAAATTTTCAATCCATGGTTTGAAATTATAGATGTAGAATCTATAGAGATGAAGGGCTAACTCTAAGGGGTACAGTTGGGTATCTAAATGTTTTGGGGTGGGTTTTTAATCCTAGTTTGCAATGTTTTTGACATCATCAAAGACCTAAAGTAAGTTACTTATTTCTAGATAATACTTTTGTTTCCAAATATATATTAAATTTTATAAAAAGCCATTTAAGGAAGAGACTTCACAGTCACAACTGGTCAGATCTACAGAGAGCTGAGGTCTCCTTAGCACAGCTTGGTCTATAGTGCAGTGAAGTAGCACATTTACATGTGGCAGTTTTCTCAGAGCAAAACAATATTGGAGAAAAATTTCTGTGTGGATATTTTCAGATCTCCACCGCTACAACATAAGTATTGCCAGACCACTTTTCTATTTTTTCCTTTTATGGTTTTAACTTCAATCCCTATAGTAGTTCTTAAACACAGGACCCTGAAATAAATCAGCATGAAGGGGTGCTCCAAAATACTCACCTGCCTCCCTGTCCCTCAGCCTCAGTGGCCACCAGAGTGAGTACTCCCTAAGAGGAAGAGACTTTTCCTACTAAGGGTGGGCCACTATGGTGGAGAACAATAAGTAGGAGACCTGTGGACTGCATGCATCTTTTTTTTTTAAAGACAGAGAGAGAGAGAGAGAGAGAGAGAGAGAGAGGGAATTTTAATATTTATTTTTTAGTTTTCAGTGGACACAACATATTTGTTTGTATGTGAAGCTGAGGATCGAACCTGGGCCGCACGCATGCCAGGCGAGCGCGCTACCGCTTGAGCCACATCCCCAGCCCATGCATGCATCTTTTTTATGAGTCTTTTGACATCTTCTCTGTAATTTTATGCTTATCCTGTAGATTTGTGGGTTTTGAATGTTTTTTTAGGTCACACAATAAATTTAATAGACTGGATCAACATTTGTTTCATTTATATTGAAGAGAAGTAAAATACAAAAAAAGCATTGTAATATAGTAAGAGAAAGTATTTACTTAAATTTTGTTGTTGTTGTTTCATTTGTATATAAGTGTGTGTTGCCAAAGATTATAGTCAGAAAAGTTTGAGAACATTTTGTAAAATAAGTTAGAAATATGAAAATACAAGCTTTATATTGATGACCATTCAATGCTCTTTTAATTCTCATATTCTCTTTTTGTTTTTAATTTTAAGATACACAAGGCTTTTCTATGTTTCCCACAATTATAGCCCCTCCATACAATGAAACACAGGAAGTGGAAATAGGTAAGAAAATTATATGAATGCTGTGTTGACTGAAAAAAATTCTTCCTTATGACCCCCGATCTGAATTCCTCTAGATATAGTCAGCTGATTAGCAAGTGTACCTTAAGGAGTATAAGATGACAGTGTGGAAACACCAGCCCCAGGCACCTGCTGAAAATAGGGACCACTATTGCAGCAATATGCGACATTTACATCTGTTTTGTGCTTTGGAATTTATGGTGCTTTCCTGTATAGGTCTGTTTTATTGTTACTTCTGTACAGGAGACAGACATTGTTTCCACTTGACTTTTGAGAAAACAGAGATGCTGAAGGGCATGCCCAAGTTCATGGATAATAAATGATAGAAAAAGAATGAGAATACGGACCTGGTTCTTCCACCACTGCCTTTCCAGGTTCTCATTAGAAGTGGGCACCATTTGAAGATCTCAGCATGTGGAACAAGTGTCCTCATGACGTGGCCTCCCCTGCCTCATGGCCTGTCTGTAGCCATTAGCCCTGCACACTCACCACCCCTCTGGGTTGCTCTCTGATGAGCACCACTTCCCACATTCTTCCCTACTGCCACCACGTTGTGCCTCTGTCCCCTCTCTCAAGACTAAGCTCATAAATTTCTTCTGTGTGATTCCCTCACACTACCCTCCTTCCTGAGGAAGAGCAGGATCCAAGCCTCCTCCATCTACCCCAGTCCAGGACATCTTTTTCTTGTGCCATGTTTGATAGCCATAGCCAGAGGTTTGTCCCTCTGTCCTCATGGGTCTCTTTGTCAGTCTTTCTATTTGAACATGGCCATACTTTGTGTTCTAATTATTAACTTACACCATGACCACCTCCCAGAGGCTCTGCGGTCCTCATCTCTCCTTAGTTGACTTCTTTTTAACACAGCTTCCTTTGGGAGCCAAGGGCTCAGGCTAAGGATGGTTGAACACACACCCAGGATCAAACAGCGTCTTTCAGTTCCGCAGGGAGAAGTCTCACGGTTAGGGATTTGGGGTGGAGCACTCGGGAGTGCTCTTCATGGATGATCAAGTTCCAGATGATCACTGAGTTGTGTAAAATGTGGTTTTGTCTCCAAAGGTAGATTATGGATAGATGAAGAAAATTCAGGTGGGAGGGGAAAACTGTAGAAGAAACAGTTAAAAAGAAACTCCAGTTTCTAGTAAGGAGAAATCCTACATTATCATGGGAGGCTGTGAAGCTAGATCATCTGCCCCTTTAGTTTCCTCTGAGGTGAGACAGTGGTGGGAGCTGAGCTTCCAGTTTAATTGAGAGTGACATAAAGAGTCTAGGGAGAAGGGAGGAGGCAAAGAGGGCGAAGAGAGAAGGTGCTCTAGAGACCACATCAGATGTTCTGCCAACATTTTTCACATTAAGTGAAATTAGATACTACATGCATAATTTAATTTTACTGGTGAATTCCTTTACTTCTCATCTAGGAAAAACAGCAAACATAACTTGCTCTGCTTGCTTTGGAAAAGGCTCTCAGTTCTTGGCTGCCGTCCTGTGGCAGATTAACAAAACCAAAGTGAGAGACTTTGGTGAAGCAAGAATTCAAGAGGAGGAAGGCCAAAATGAAAGGTATTTTTATATCCAAGTTGAAACATCTCCTTCTTCTCCCTCATTATTGGCACCTGCAGAGAAAACATTAAAAGTAACAAGTTGCTGGGCATTCTGTAATCCCAAGGGCTCCGGAGGCTGAGGCAGGAGGACCGTGAGTTCAAAGCCAGCCTCAGCAACAGCGAGGCGCTAAGCAACTCAGTGAGACCCCAACTCTAAATAAAATACAAAATAGGGCTGGGGATGTGGCTTAGTGGTTGAGTGCCCCTGAGATCAATACCCAGTAAACTCCACCCACCCTCCCTCCCCAAAAGGTAACAAATTGCCTTCTCAGTTTTAGCAATGAGCTGATATGTCTGAGCACAGTTTTAAGAATAACTGATGTGAAGAAAGAGGATTTGTCCTTGGAGTACAACTGTCTGGCCCTGAACCTGCATGGAATGATAAGGAATACCATAAGACTGAGAAGGAAAAAGCCAAGTAAGGAGTGTCTGAGGCTTTGGTCACCTGCGTCTGCTCTGTCAACTGTAAGCTGAAATCGTTTTCTTAAGAGGACAGCGTCCTGCAGTTTGGTTCCAGGGACTCCATCATGACTATGGAAATGGCCTGTCTCATAGAACACGCTTCTCCTGTGCTGACCCTCGGGCTCTGGTCTTTTCAGAATATTTCCATTTGCTAGGAACCTTCTTTACTGCTCTCTGTCCTCTTCCCCCTCCTCCCATTTTCCTCCTCCTTACCTCTTCCCCTTCGTCCTCCTCCTCCTCTCCTGCTTCTCCTCCTCCTGCTTCTCGGTGGGCTCCTCTTCTACCTGTGACTGCTTCCTCGGCCATTCCTACTTAGGTGCAGACCACAAAGGGATGCTGCTGTGTACCGAGGAGTCAAATCAATAATAAAGCTGCCTGTGAGTCACTGTGCTTCTGATTGTCACCACACCCAGATAGCACTAACTCTTCTCAATGACAAGATGCTCTCGGCAGGGGCAGATGACCCCATGGTCCACTCCTTCCATCAGTCTCTGCCTGCAGTGTCATCGAGGCGAATATCCCGATAAGCACTAGGTTCCTGTGCACTTGTTCTTTTGCAGTACCAGGAACAGTCATTTTGTTTATTAGGTGAAGTATTTGACCCCAGAGAAAAGGGAAAAATATGGGTCTGTTTACATAACATCACTCTCTTAGTAGCAGTATAGCTATGTAGAAATTACATATTATTTGTCAAAGATCCTGGGTTCATACCCACATGCAGGGTATGGCCTGGATTCATCTGGATGAACACACAAACACTCAGAACAATGAAAAAGAGCTTGGGGTGGGAAGAAACTGACCAATTTGATATGGTCATGGTAGGTCTCTGTTTAAGTTTTTTGTTATGGCTTTGATTTTAACTTCTGATTTGTTTTTATAAAACAAAGAGTCATGACTCATGAAGAGGAGCTTAAATGCAGTCCTGCTCAGGAGGACATTAGGCTTCTGCCAGTGGTGACTGTGTCACCCCAGGATGGCTGTGGACCAGGTCAAAATGTCCCAGGGTGGTAGTGGGCATGTGGATCCTACAGGAAAGGGGAAGCCATACACCACTCCCCACCTAGCACCACCTTTGTGTCCTTGTCCCTGTGCTTTGCTTATGTTACAATTCATGAATATTCTCTGATTACTTGTGTATTGGAACTTTGTTCATGTTACCTTTTTTCTTTGTGTGTGTGATTTTGTAGTTTCTAGTTTATTTGTATTTTATCGGTTTTGTTCAAATCAACAGTTATACTCTGTTTCAATGACTGTGTAAATCAAACAAAAATTGTCTCTACTGCTATACCTTTACTTCTGGAACTACAGCATCTTTTGAACTTAAATAACAAACAAAATCCTATGTCTCCATATTATTATATACTACTAAATAAATATTTGATGATCATAATATTAATAACACACACGTATGCATTGTTTGTTGTCCCAGGTCCTGTCTGGTTATTTTACAATTAAATTTCTCATTTATTCTCTCAATACCCCACAAGGGAGAGAATGTTATTGTCATCTAATGTTATAGATGAGGAAACAAAAGCGTAAAGAGCCAAATAACTTGCTAAGTACTATAGATTACTACAATCATGAAGCCAGGATTCAAACACAGTGACATTTTTCTATTTATAAACACTTGCTGGGAGTGTTGAGTGTTTATTCATCACATGCAAGATTGTCCTGTACCTTTTTTTTTTCTTTTTAAGAGAGAAAGAGAATTTTTTAATATTTATTTTTTAGTTTTCGGTGAACACAACATCCTTATTTTTTATTTTTGTGTGGTGCTGACGATCGAACCCAGTGTCCTGTGCATGCCAGGTGAGCACGCTACTGCTTGAGCCACATCCCCAGACCCCTGTACCTTTTTAAGTTATTGTACTTAGGTAGATACTGAAGTCCAATTCTCTTCTACATAGTCAATCAGTCTCTTTCCTCCAATTGAAAGCGTCCTGCACAGGACCTCACAACAATCCCCACAAGAAGTGTACATTCTTAGACTGCATCCAGATAGGACCTCTAGAAAATCCCCCCTCCCCTCACTCCTGGGGACTGAACCCAGTGGGGCTTTACCACTGAGCTGTATCCCTAGCCCTTTTTATTTTGAGACTGGATCTTGCCCAGGCCGGCCTTGAACTTGTGATCCTCCTCCCTCAGCCTCTCAAGTAGCTGGAATTACAGGTGTATATCACCGTGCTCAGTTTAGACAATCTTTTTGAAATGAGTTCCTGAGAGAGTTTTTATCATTCAAACTGATGACAATGTAGACAGTAAGCTCTCTGCCAATTTTTAGTTCTTTTTCCCAGCTTTGGATCACTTCACCTCCATCGTTCTTGATGTCATAGTGATGGATACTCAGAGAGCTCATGAACATACAGAGGGGAGAAATCTGTGAATAAAGGTCAGTGTCTTTCAGCATTGATCGTGAGAGCCCATGAACTGAGTCTTAAGATTGAAACAAACCAAATCTCATTTGATCTCTCTTTCATTTTTAAGCAAGGCTGTTTCTAAGACAAGATTGATGGCAAATCTAAGGAAATAAACATAAACCACCAAGAATACTGTGAAAGTCATCAACCTCAGCAAAAGTGAGGCACTAAACAACTCAGTGAGACTCTGTCTCTAAGCAAAATACAAAATAGGGCTGGAGATGTGGCTCAGTGGTTTAGTTATCCCTGAATTCAATCCCAGGTATCAAAAAACAAAAATCCCAGTTATTATGTTCAGCTTGTACACATCTGATACAAGTCCTTGAAGATGGAAACTATGCTGCATTTGAATTTCTTGAAACAAGGGATACTCAGATAAAGTTCAGTGATGGCTAAATAATATTTGCCATCAGAGGAGGAAGGGGTAGGCGAAGGATCTAGAACCCAGCAACTCAACTTGATCAGATAGGCTTCAGAGACTTCCAGGGCTCTGCCCGCACCTTTTCTTCCTATGCCATCGAACTATCAGAGCTCATGTGTCCTCCAGACCCATTTATTCATTCTCCTTAGTGTGCCCCACAAACACCAGGCTTGTCCATTCCCCTCCCATTATTATACGAGTTTGAATCCTCATCTTGTACCACAAATTCTGTGCTCTTTACTACTCAGAGCACCTGCAATCTGTCTGCACAGAACCCAACCTTCTGCCATCCGATTAATCTTGTGTGAAAAGCACTTACATTGTTGATGGCTCCCATGACCTTCAGAACAGAACAAGGCAAGTGTGTTGCCTGGGGTTTCAACTCTGGTCAAATCTAGCCCCAACCCATCTTTGTAATCAGCTTTCACTAATTTCCCAAATTGGGTTGTTCCAGTTCCTAAGAAAACAGACTCCCCTATCTGCACTTTGTCTCACAGCATTCTCCTGGACAGGAGGTCATTTCCTGTTTCTGCATGTCTCTGAATCCTACATGTCCTTCAGGAATCTTCTGCAGGAAGTCTGCCTTGCCCAGAATGGAGCAAGCTCTTTTTCAAATGTCTCTGCCAGTTACAATCATGCTTTTACCTCCCAGCTTAGTTAAGTTTACATGTGTCTCTTTTGCTCTTGAGAATCCTGGGTGATGACTACCTGGTGCTTTGCACAGAGTATAGGTTCATTAATGTTGATGAACTGAAGTTTAAAGCAGCCATGAAAATTCCAGGGAAGTATTTTTGGTGTGAATCTCTTATAATTCCAGTGGAGGCCACTATGCATATATTTGTCTGTTTATCTTGTTTTCATAATACTAAGGATTGCTCTTCTCCTCTCCCTGTCCTTTGTAGTTGATCATCAACACATCTACTATGTAGTTGCAGGATGTAGTATCTCGTTAATGATAATCAATATCTTGGTGATAATTCTGAAATCATTCTGGATTGAGGTCATTCTGCTCTGGAGAGATGTAGCTAGACCTTACAAAACTAGGAATGGTAAGTGGCAAGTTTCAAGTTTTTCTTCAAAAGAAAAAGGTCTCATAAGAACAGATTATCAGTAAATGGGGCGGGGGAGATATTGGGGATTAAATCCGAAAGTGCTTTACCCTTGAGCCACATCCCCAGCCCTTTTTATTTTTAGTTTTGAGACAGGATCTCACTAAATTGCTTTGACTGACCTTGAACTGTGATCCTCCCTCCTACCTCAGCCTCTTGAGTCAGTGGGATTACAGGTGTGTACCACCACACTTGGCTTAGTGAATTTTTTTGAGTCTACTCAGAGACCATTTTCCATTCTGCTCTGATGTTCTCTGTGGTACTGAGATTCATGACAACAGCTTAAATATTCTCCTTGCTAGATTTGCTGTTTCTACTAAATCCCTAATAGCAGAATCTGTCCCAAGCCCAGAAAGTTTTGAATACTTGGGAAATGTGTGTTAGTAAAACTTTATGAAATAAAGCGCAGTAAAAAAAAAAGTTGTTTCTGTTTTGCATATATGCATAAGTTAGACAGATGCAGCAGAATGCAAGATCATTTTCCCTGGAAAGTTGTTTTATGAGTATATACATGCACATGAGCACACATATGTATGTGAGCATACAGTAGTATACACACATATGAACACATACACATACACACATGCACATAATGTATATGTAAAACAAGATAGTTCTGCCTACTAAATATGGACATTATTCTTTCATTTGTAAGCAAACAGATGTTAGATTTTTCTATATACTCTACTATAGCTAATTCTTTGTGGGAAATTGAGACGTCTTAAGAAACTCTATTTTCTAGTTAGTCATTAATAGCCTTTAGCATTTTCACTTCTTCCAGAAAAGTATAGTAGTTTCCCCTTATCCTTAGTTTCATTTTCTGTAGTTTTAGTTACCCAAGGTCAACTGTGGTTAAAATTTATATATATATGAAAATACTATAACTAAACAAAACACAAGCTTTAAATTCTGCACCATTCTGAGTAGTGTGGTGAAAATTGACACCATCCTGCCCAGGACTTGAATCATGAATCATCTCTTTGTTTGGTGTATCCACTAGACTAACAGGCTACCTGCCTATTAGTCAGTGTCTTGATTATCAGATTGACTATTGTAGTATATCAGTGCTTGTGTTCAAGTAACCTCTATTTAACTCCATAATTGCCCCCAAAGTGCAAAAACAGCTGTTCTGGCAATTTTATTATAATATTTTGCTGTGGTTATTCTATTTTATTATTAGTTATTATGATTCATGTCTTACTGTGTCTGATTTATAACTTAAAACTTTCATAGGTATGCATGTATAGGGGAACACTTAGAATATGTAGAGTTCAGTATTTCTGAAGTTTCAGGAATCCACTGAGATTTTGGAACACATTTCCTGTGGATAAGTGAGAACCACTGTATGGGGGGAAATGGATGACACTGAGGTCTACCAGACACTAGGAGAAGGCATGTCAATGACTATAAATAGTTCATAATAGATTAGTGATCAGCCATGACCACACCACTTGACCTACACTGGGCACTATCTCTTCTGTTCTCCATTATTCAGTCTGAGACAATGAATAGCAAGAGAAATTTGGGATTAAGACTATTATTTCCATACCACATTTTGTGGCAGTGGATTGCCATCATCTCTTGGTTCTAGAATATTTTGGAGGATGGGGATCATTCACCAACAGCCATAGAACTTGGTGAGGAAAGTAGTACTCGGATAAGTGAAAATGAGAATTTTTAGAACCAAGTAATGGAGTTGTACTTCTTGTTTTCATTTTCAGATGGAAAACTCTATGATGCTTATGTTATATATCCACGGAACTACAGAAGCAATTCAGAAGAGGCCAGTTCTGTGGAGTACTTTGTTCATCAGATTCTGCCTGATGTTCTTGAAAATCAATGTGGATATAAATTATGCATTTATGGAAGAGATCTGCTACCTGGAGAAGGTAAAGCTGTCTCTGTATACATCATATGATTCTTTCCAGGAAGCTCCCCTTTCATTCCCCAGCTCTCCCACACTGGTGGAAAGTAATGGGTGATGGTTTCAAGAGCTCTTTTCATGTCACAGGTGTGCTCAAGCCTTGGCGGGGGACACCACTTGTCTGTGAGCTCACACTGTGCACCACCTCTGGGCATGGGCTCTTCATCTCTTCTTCCTTAGTGCATCAAGTTCATTTCTAGTTCCACCTCTCCCCAGCCAAGTTTCGATACTCTCTGGTGCTCATGCCTGTGTTGCATTCACTGGGCAACGACACACTTATTGAAATGATTTCCTCCTTCCCCTCCCTCAAGGCATAACCTGTGATCTTTCTTCCACTCAGATAGAATAAACCCACCAGATCACCACTGGACTCTCTTCTATCCTTAGAAAATGTTCACGCCTGGCTTTGTGTGTATTCTTATGCTAGTTACCTTCCATTTTCACCCCCTTTATGGCCCTTCTGCATCCCGCTCCATCCAGGATGGAGAATCTGAATTCATGATCTTCATTTAACAATATTTCACAATATTTATTTTTTGACTTCAGACTGCATGAATTTGCAGCCTTCAGCCCCTACACTAAAAAGATCTTGAGTTGCTTTGTTCATGGTTGTGTTTCCTGACTGTATTTTTACCTCCTGCCGTGAGAATTAGGTATTTTACATGTTTTTCTTAGTCCACCCAGAGATAGTTAAATCACCATGGTACTGATCTTCTTAGACACTGACTTGGAAAAAGATATAATATTCCTTAAGATTTTTCTAGTCTCGATCAAATCAGTCCTGACAACAGAGATTACTGGGGTATGAAGTGGAACCAGGACTTTCCTAGAGACATGGATCAGCTTGGGCTGGGGGCAGGGCTTCTTGGAATTTCACTCTCTCGTGTGAGTTAATATGTTAAATTATGTTTAAGTTCATATATGAAGCCCTTTTAAAACACATGCACACATCTTCTCTTACAGTCAAAGAAGAAAATTCTGATAATTCTAAATCTCCCATGAAACAGTAGGTGAGATACGTCCACATTCCCAAATCACTGGAAGAACCGTTTTAGTTAGAATTGATTTTTACCTGGTGAAAAAGAGGGCATTGGGTGGATGTTTTGATGGTGATGGGAGAAAGAAGAAAAAAAAAATGGGTTGGTTCTCTATCCAAGTTCATTCCCACTTTCTGAATAAGTTATTTGATCAGTGATCAGAATCTCATGCCAGATTACAACACTAAGAATATTTTTTAATGTTCAGAACAACCTCCACTATTAGACTATCAAAAAGGCAATGATAGGAGATCCCCAATCTGTTTCTCACCTGACCAGATGCAGCCACGGCAGTGGAAACCAACCTGAGAAAAAGCAGGCGACACGTGTTTATCCTGGCTCCTCACATCACACACAACAAAGAGTTTTCCTACGAGCAGGAGATTGCCCTGCACAGCGCCCTCATCCGGAACGACTCCAAGGTGATTCTAATAGAAATGGAGGCTCCGGGAGAGACAGGTGGACTGCAGGTGGATGACCTTCAAGATTCCCTCAAGCACCTTGTGAAAGTGCAGGGCACCATCAAATGGAGGGAAGATCACGTGGCCAATAAACGGTCTCTGAATTCCAGGTTCTGGAAGCACGTGAGGTACCAAATGCCCATCCCAAGCAAACTCCCCAGCAAGACTTGCACAACAGGGACCAGCGCTTCTGTTGACGCATGCACACGCCTGAGTTCGCAGCTCTCCTGACTTCTGGGGTGGGTGCTGGGATTTGCCTCTGCACCTGTTCTGAAGTGGGAATAGAAGGAATGTCCAGGGTAGTCAGCCCTCGGGCTCCATCTGTAACTTTACTTCTGTTTTCCTAATTCTAGGTGGATACAACTGCCCAGAAAAAAAAGTTTACCAGCCCTCCCCCATTTTGTTTTGTTCTGTTACAGCGTAGGATTTTTTTTTCCCCTTCACAATGCTTTTGATTCTCTGTTTTGTTCTTTTTCTCATTCCTCATGGGTAATTTACATTTTGAACTTCGAACTGGAAGTTTTAGAGTTAAATTTTGGTGTCATCTCAAAGAACACTCTGAGAACTGGGTACAGTGGCAAGCACCTATAATCTCGGGGACTCGGGAGGCTGAGGTAGGAGGGTTGCAAGTTTGAGGCCAGGCTGGGGAACTTAGCAAGGCTTTGTGTCAAAATTAGACATAAAAAAGGGCTAGGGATGTAGGTCAGTGGTAAAGTGCCTCTGGGTTCAACCACCTGTTATGAAAAAAAACCCAAAAAACCAAAGCCCCCAAAAAACATTCCTATCCCCACATACATAAAATCAGTAGTAAATCTTGTTCCATCATGCTACAATTTATTGTATTTTATTTAATAATTGTTCAGCCTTACTATCTAAATATTCACATATTTTTTTTTTTGGAATGCCTTATCCAAATTGCCATTAAAATAAAACAAAATTTTTCAGTTCTAAGATTTCTTTCACGTTTATATTATCTTCAGTAATATTATTTTCTTATTATCAAAGTAGACAGAAGCATATTGTAGACGAACAGGAAATATAAAATGGGAAGTTAATAAAAATCACTCAAATCCATGATCTTTAGATTATTTCTGATAAATGTTTTTTCTAATTTAAGAAAGTTCCATATTTAACTGGCAAAAGAAAGCTGAAGTACAGACTCTTGTCTGGGAATGTCATCTTGAACTCACTGTCATACCTTTCAGGATCCTGGGTTGAAATAAGTCATATGTCCAGAAGTTTGTCTAAAGTATATAGAGTTACTCTTCTTTCTAGGTACTCTATACTCTTAACCTGTACCTTGAGATTGGGTTGCCAGATAAAACACAGAAAAGCAGTTAAAGTTGAATTCAGAGGCTGAAATTTCATCTGAGGTTGATCTGAAATTCAAACTTAAGCTGGACATCCTGCATTATTATTTTGCTAGATTACTGTACCTTTTTTTGTGGCAACATCTGATTTTATTGCATTACCAAAAAAACTGGATGCTGCATATCTGACTTGTTCACATCATAGAACTTAAAATGAACAAATCATTCTGTTTGGGATCCACCAGGAATATGACCATGAGGAATTTCCTTAACTTCATTGAAACTTAGTTGCCTTAGGTGAAATAAATGTAATAATGCCAAACACTTTGGTTTCTGTGGTAATAGTAAAAACATATATTAGCATTGCCGGAAGAATTCCATCCATGGTGACAGTTGTAATTATGAAGCCTCCCTGTGCTTCTTGTAATGCTGATTATGTTCTGTAACACCTCTCAATGAAGACTCCTAAACAATAAATTATCTGCAGTCTCATTATTGGGAATAGATATACCTTTATCCCTGCTTCCCCACCCATCTAAAATGATAGGTGTGTTTTCTTGGTGTATGGATGTGGGAAATTTTGAAACCGATTTTATTTCCCTCTGTACCTCAGGTTTTGGGGATCTTTCTACCTTAGATATGTAGGATTCTTAACATACAATTGGTGATGATCTCTTACTTGGTTCTGTAATACATTTGTTTTCAACTTGCCCCATATTTCTTAATTTTGAATGTGTCTCAAGCCTCTATGTTATGAGCTCCTTTGCAAGCATTCAACAAATATTTGCATTTTCTGTATGTGTGCAGAGTACCTCCTTGGGAAGGGCAAGAGAGGAAGGCTGAGAAAGGAGTTAAGCACCCTCTGTGCCTGTTCTTATGGAGCTGGGAGCCTACTGTGGAAACTTGGTGGGAAGAGAAAGCAATTCAGAGATCCCAGATAGGGCTGGCTTCAGGGAAGTTGACATTGCTGAGTTCTTTTCTTTCTCATACACTTTCCTAAATTTACACACCATTTCCCAAGTCACCTAAGCTCTTTGGGGCTCAGTTTCCGCAGCTGACAAAATGAGAAGGTAGAAAAAATGACCCCTAAGGGTTTTCTGAGTTCCAGGGGCTCCTAATTCCAAGTTGCATGCTCACAGTGAGGTCAGGAACCTGCTGGATACCTGGATTCTCCTGCCATCACCACCTGTAACCTCAGTCAGTTTCTTGCTCTGTGTGACAGGACTCGTAGATTCACACAAAGTAGCATAAATAAAAGAAATTCAGCCCAAACTGATTGGGTGTCAACTATCTGATTGTGGTGAAAATGTCTGTGAATTATAAAAAAAACATAAAGAATTGTTTTTAATTGAGTCAAGTTTGTACTCATAAAACATATACCCTAAGTATTCAGGTCAGTGAGTTTTGACAGCTGAACCACACTCGTGTGGTTACCACCCAAAACAAAATAGAAATGCTTGTCACCCCAGGAAGTTTCATTGTGACATTTCTCAGTCCATTCCTTTCCTTCCCCTGAGGTAAACAATGTTCACACTTGTCAGACCTTGACATTCATATCAACACGCTTATGTGATGTTTGGTCTGGCTTCTTCTATAACATAACATTTTTTTAAAAGATTTATCCATATTTTGCATCAGTTAATAGTTTGTTTCTTTATATTGCTGAGCAGTGTTCCATTGTATAGCTATATAAGAGTTTTCTTAGTCATTTTCTTGTTGAGAGACTTGATGGGCTATTTCCCATTAATGGCTATTATAATATGGTTCCCATGGACATTCTTGTGGGCATATTTTTTTAACTTCTTTTTGTTTAGTACTTAGAAGCAATGACAGGGTAATTGTATGTTTAACTTTTTAAGAAACGGACAAATTGCTTTGCCAACTAATCATTGCATTCAAAATTTCCACTAGTGAATGTGAGCTCTGGTGCTCTAGTGCCTCACCAGTGATGGGTATTTTAGTGGTTAATGAATCTCACTGTAGTCTTATTTTGCAGTTCTCTGACAATTAATGGTGTTACATCTTTTTCATGCTCTTATTGGTCACAAGTGTACCTTATTCAGTGAAGGTAAAATCTTTGCCCTATTTAAATTGTGCTGATTCTTTTTATATTGTGGATGCATAGAAATTATTTATATATTGTGGATACCACAGGTATCTAGAAGCACTATTCTCCTCTGGCCTCCTTTCTTTTGAACAATTTAAAATTTTAAGTCAACAACTCTGCACCCCTCTATATCACTCCCCAGTAGGGAATCCCCATCCCTCATGCCAGGCAATGCCTGGAGTTTGACCTGAGTTCCTAAAATAATGACCCCTCCACATGTTTGGCTCAGGGAACCTTCGGTGGCTTGGGGACTTCTCTGTTGTCCTTCTGAAACAGAGAGCTCCTGGATTTCCTTACTCAGAGTTAAAACTCCCTCAATCTGAGGCCAAATGCCAAGGAAATTGTGACTGATATGTTTTCGAACTAATCTACACAGGTGTATCGCCTGGATTTTGTTTCTTTTCATTGGAACCGTTTCTGTGGGGCTGGAAGAGAAGCAGTCTAGCCGCTTCCTCCCAGTTTGAGCAAACGACATAAATTTCATTTTTCCCCATCATTTGTCTATTTCTCATGCGGGAGGAAACCGGTCCTGGGGAGGCGGGGGTGGGGGTGGGGGGAGGATCTAGGCAAGGTTCCTGGGGAGGCTGCGGGTAACACTTCCTCTCTCCGATCCTCCCCCAGCCTCTTCCTCTTAAATGAGGACACCTCGCTGGGGTCCAGGTGTCCTCGCTCCTCCAGCTAGTCTGGCTGTTGCGCCTTGCTGCCTCAAGGGTGCGCAAAAGCGGGAGGGGCGCGCCAACTCCTGACTCTGCAGGTGGCACAGCCGCCGCCCTGGGTCGCTGGAGTCGAAGGTCACCCCTGCGTGGAGGCTGGGGCGGTTCGCAGGGCCTGGACGCGACCAGGATTTTCCCGCTGCGCGCGTCGCCCCAGGGATCCCACAGCTCCGGTAAGTCGCAGGCGGGCACCTGCGCAGAGGAACCGGCCCCCGGTCTCGCTGCCAGAAGCACGCAGCCCACACCTGACCCGACACCCCGCAAACCGGGGTCACTCCTGAGAGTGGGCGCCTCAAGCCTGGGCGACTCCATCCCTGGGAGCATCCCACGGCGGACAGCGTGACACGCTGCCCCTGGAGCGCTCCCGGGACCTGGGGTCCTCCCACGGGCAGCGCCCACCTGCAGCCCTCTCTAGCCGGGTTTCACAGCCAGGAGCCGCAGGACGCTTTTCTTTTTTCACCTTTGATCGGTATCCCCTCCCCGCCCCGGATTACCCTCCCCGATTACCTATCTCTCTCTCTCTCTGTCCCGCCCTGCGGCCGCGCCTCCTTCCAGTTTCACAGTTGCCAGGAGCTCGGGGAATCACCTTTTCTCACCTGAGTTTTGAATGCCACCTCGCAGTCAAGAATCCGTGTGAAAGAGGGACAAACGCCCGCGCCCCAGCCTCAGAGACACCCCTTCGAAGGTAAGGACGGGCGCCCGAGCCACGAATGCTAAGTCCCGGTTTTCCCCAGCCGCTTGGAACAAAGAGCCACCCAGACTCAGGGGCCGGTATCTGAAAACTAGATTGGTTATGTGTGTTGTGCGTGCGCGCCTAAGAATAATCGGTGAGACAGCATCATCAACTCTCACTGATAGTATGATTTTTAGAAGTGAAAACATTGTCAATTCTTTTCTTAGAGATGAGAACAGCTGAAATAAGTGATGACAATAGTTGTTGTTTCTTAAGCACTTACGGTGTGCCTGACACAGTATAGAAAACTTTTGTTGTATGCACGTAAGCCTTTCAGAGGTGAAATGAAGGAGGAGGTATTATCACATTTAATAAAAGGGAGGGAGATTCAAGCACAAAGAGATTTAGCAATTTATCCAAGGGCATCCAACTTTTTATTCAAGGGAATGGCTTTATAGCTGGTTGTTCCCCCTGGAAATTCTGGAGGTAGATTGGCAAGGGAATGGTTTATTCAAAGCCAGCTTTGAGGAAGATGGAGAAAAACTTTCTGACTCAAATATCCATCTTTGGGGGATTTAGGGACATGGAAAGATTTTATAAAAGACAAGAAGGCAGAGTGTGACAAAAGGCAGGAAATGTACAGATAGTGTGTGTGTGTGTATATATATATATATATATATATATATATATATATATAGTTAGGCTTCGTAAGTCAGAAACATGCCAATCTCCAGTTCCTAGCCCCTCTGAGTGTGGGGAGAGATCTCTTCCTTCTGCCTCCACTCACAGTTTGAGGAAATACAGGTTATAGAAACTCAGTTATTAGGAAGTTGCCCTATTTTCAAAGGCAGTCTGTTCCACAGCTATGAAGTAGTAGATCGTAGTTTCACATCTAATGTTCCTGGTTCCAAAGCTCTGTCTTTAATCTGTGGGGCCTCCAGAAGTCAGAACACCTAGCAGGTTGTATCCCAGTTATCAGAACAGTTAATGGCTGGAAAAGGTCATTCAGGGGTAGAGATCAGAGAATACTGTAATAATTTCACCAACTTCCCTTGCTCTATTCTTGGGACCTCTGCAAACATATTCTATGCCACACACATTGCTGGGACCTAGGGAACTCCTCTTAACCCCATAGCTTGGGTAGACTGGGAAGTGCAAATTTGGGGAACTGCATTTGCTGGTCTGGGCACACAGTATAGAAAGGCAGGTTCTGCCCTCTGGGACCTTACCAGGGGGAGAAGGCTGGTTCTCGAAGAATGGAAATGTCCTCTCAGATGAGCTTGGACAAGGCTATGCCTGTGTGAGCAGTAATAATTAGCTTCCTTGAGAAGCCAGCCTTTGAGCCACATTGCAAGGACTGTAGTTTCCTAGTGGCTGGGAGGAATGGGGAGATTTAGGGAAAAGCATGAAAAGAACAGTAACAGATAATTGTGGGACAAGAACTATGAAGTGACTATGATTTTCCTTGCCTTATAGAGGGAAACCAAATTCCACATAGACTCTTTGTTCCTTTGAGTGAAGTGCATGCGGTTTTCTAAGATAATTTTTTTTTCTTTTCTCTTTGGTTGTTTTATCACCTTGCAAATGGAGTGAAACCCCATGCATTGCACCCTGGAGAGAAATAATTACCTGGGGGAAAATAAATCACTGGTGAGCTGCAGCTGGAGTTCAGTGGTAAGCTCTTGCCTAGCATGAGTGAGGGCCCAAGTTTGATCTACTATGTTAAAAACAACAACAACAACAACAACACTGATGTTATGATTTTTGTCAAGGCAGTTTATCTTAAGAGGAACTCAATTATATGTTTTGCTAATGAGAATGGGTGGTAGCAAGGCAATTTACATTTATTTCTGCATAAGTCAGTGAAACTAGCTTTAATCTAGACTCACTTCCATGAGTCTCAGGACCCTCATTAGATAAAATTTTTTTTTTTTTTTTTTTTTTTTAATTTTTTATTGTTGGCTGTTCAAAACATTACATAGTTCTTGATATATCATATTTCACAATTTGATTCAAGTGGGTTATGAGCTCCCATTTTTACCCCATATACAGATTGCAGAATCACATCAGTTACACATCCATTGATTTACATATTGCCATACTAGTGTCTGTTGTATTCTGCTGCCTTTCCTATCCTCTACTATCCCCCCTCCCCTCCCCTCCCCTCCCCTCCCCTCCCCTCCCCTCTTCTCTCTCTGCTCCCTCTACTGACATTCGTTTGTCCCCCTTATATTATTTTTCCCCTTCCCCTCACTTCCTCTTGTATGTACTTTTGTATAACTCTGAGGGTCTCCTTCCATTTCCATGCATTTTCCCTTCTCTCTCCCTTTCCCTCCCACCTCTCATCCCTGTTTAATGTTAATCTTCTTCTCCTGCTCTTCGACCCTACTCTGTTCTTAGTTACTCTCCTTATATCAAAGAAGACATTTGGCATTTGTTTTTTAGGGATTGGCTAGCTTCACTTAGCATAATCTGCTCTAATGCCATCCATTTCCCTGTAAATTCTATGATTTTGTCATTTTTTAATGCAGAGTAATACTCCATTGTGTATAAATGCCACATTTTTTTTATCCATTCATCCATTGAAGGGCATCTAGGTTGGTTCCACAGTCTAGCTATTGTGAATTGTGCTGCTATGAACATCGATGTAGCAGTGTCCCTGTAGCATGCTCTTTTTAGGTCTTTAGGGAATAGACCGAGAAGGGGAATAGCTGGGTCAAATGGTGGTTCCTTTCCCAGCTTTCCAAGAAATCTCCATACTGCTTTCCAGATTGGCTGCACCAATTTGCAGTCCCACCAGCAATGTACAAGTGTACCCTTTTCCCCACATCCTCGCCAGCACTTGTTGTTGTTTGACTTCCTAATGGCTGCCAATCTAACTGGAGTGAGATGGTATCTTAGGGTGGTTTTGATTTGCATTTCTCTGACAGCTAGAGATGGTGAGCATTTTTTCATGTACTTGTTGATTGACTGTATGTCCTCCTCTGAGAAGTGTCTGTTCAGGTCCTTGGCCCATTTGTTGATTGGGTTGTTTGTTCTCTTATTGTCTAATTTTTTGAGATCTTTGTATACTCTGGATATTAGGGCTCTATCTGAAGTGTGAGGAGTAAAGATTTGTTCCCAGGGTGTAGGCTCCCTATTTACCTCTCTTATTGTTTCTTTTGCTGAGAAAAAACTTCTTAGTTTGAGTAAGTCCCATTTGTTGATTCTAGTTATTAACTTTTGTGCTATGGGTGTCCTATTGAGGAATTTGGAGCCCGACCCCACCGACTGTAGATCGTAGCCAACTTTTTCTTCTATCAGACGGCGTGTCTCTGATTAGATAAAATTTTTAATGGCCTAACATTTATGGGTTTCTGTGAAATATTTTATTCTAGAGAATGGTCAGTTTCTTCAGGGTGGGGGTGGGGTCAATGAACAAGGGTGGCTAGGCAGGACCAGCAGCTTAGGAGATGACCAGATACCCTGGAAAGGGCCTTGTTCTGCATGGCCTTGTGGGACAGAAATGTTTATAACTCATCTTCTCCCTAGGTCTCAATTTTTGAAAGAGAAATTATTTTTTTTTTTATTTAGAAAAAATTTCATGACATTAGATGATTCAGATAAGTATATGACTATTCTTTATATACACACATATACAGAGGTGCACATGCATTTATTTTATACTTAAATAAAACATTAGATATATGTATACATTCACTTAATGTGTTTATTATTCAAGATATAATGTATGTTTTATTAAATGTATATGTATATATGTACATATATGTATATATGACATATTACATTTTACTTCTTTAAGTATATGAATAAGTCCAGTAAATCTGTGGCTCTTGTCCTTGGCTTGGCATTAGAATCACCACCTGGGGAGTTTTGGTGACTCAGGTTTCCCAGGCTATACAGACAGGGAATTTCCAGACAGGTGGGTAGAGCCCTAGCTTCATTATTATTTTTAAAAGTGCCAGTTGAGATATAGCACCCTGGACATCATTGAGGTTAAAACATTCTTTTCAAGATGTCATGATTTAAAAAGTAGAAAATCAGGGTAATATGCTAATGAATCAGATGATCACATGAACTCCAAACTCTAAATATTTTAAGAATTTAATGCATTAATTAATTCAGCAAATAATCATTAAGCAGACATAATGTAAAAATGTCAGTTAGTGATAATTACTATAAATAGAAAAACAAAGGGAGAGAAGACAATGGAGAGAGAGAGCGAGAGAGAGAGAGTGTGTGTGTGTGTGTGTGTGTGTGTGTGCGCCCCTATAGACATATATTTGAACTTGAGCAAGCATGCTGTGCTAGATTTTCCACAGAGTCCTCAGGGACCTATTCATTATAACCTGCTAGCAACAAACTTTAATGGAAAGACAGGACTACTGAATTAATCATAGATAATTAATCTTGGCTATTTTGGAAAAGTAACATTAACTAGACCCTATCTTCATGCTAACCATGAAAATTAATCCAGTGAATTTTTTAAAAAGTTAAATTAAAAAATTAAGCCATAAAAACGAAGAAAATAAAGATAATCATCTGCTTTACAACTGTGAGAAGAGGAATCATCTATATTTGAAAGTAATAGAAAAGTCACAAAGCAAAAACAAAAAAAGTTTGATGCCCTCAATATATAATCTTCCATTTATTAGCACATCAAAAGAGGAATTAAGGGCTAAGGATGTGGCTCAAGTGGTAGCACGCTCGCCTGGCATGCGTGCGGCCTGGGTTCAATCCTCAGCACCACATACAAACAAAGATGTTGTGTCCGCCAAAGACTAGAAAATAAATATTAAAATTCTCTCTCTCTCTCTCTCTTTTAAAAAAAAAAAAAAGAGGAATTAAAAGCAAACTAAACAAATTGGACAAAACACTCAACATCTGAGAACTGAGCAATGGATGTGAAGAAATAGTTCATAATCATAGAAATAAAATAGCTAATAGCACATGGTTAAAATTGACATCATTTATAACAAAGCCAACAGGTACCATCGTTCCATATTGACTACCTGGTTCATTTTAAAACATGAGACTGCCCAGTGCTTTTCCAGGTGTGGTGGATGGAAACCGTCTTGCACTGTGAGGGAAGGTATATGAATCATGGCAACATTTCTGGGCAATGTGATTGGCAATGTCTCAAATATGTTGTGTTCATTCACATCCTGCCATGGAAATGATAAGAAATGCAAATAATAATAGCTGACATTTAAGTGGGTGTTTATTATTCTTCAGTCATTTGCAAGAGTAATGCATGTAATTTATGATCAGCTCTTAAGATAGATAGTATTGCTGTCTCCTTGTTTGGACAAAGAAATTGGGGCAGAGAGAGAGGATAAGTGACATGCCTGAGGTTCGTTCACTGGTAAAAGAAAATGGAGATTCCAGTCTTTCCAGGCAGGTACGAGAGGCTGCACTCCAAAACACTGAGTCACATGCGAGAGTCAGGTCTCGTGAGGACAGTCATGGAGTTATTTCACAGTATAATTCATCTTGTAAAGAATCATATGTCCATCAGAAGGAATTTTGGGTGGCAATTAAAATGATGTTAACAAAGAGAACAGCCTGATACAGGAAAATGCTCACTGCATAATATTAAATGGAAATGCAAGATATGAAATTAATTAAATACTTTTAACTATTTAAAATACACAGAAAGTAGTTAAAATGCTAAAATATTATTTTATATTGGTTTCTTTTAGTCTTCATTTTGTAAATATTCTGTGTTAGGCACATATTGCTTTAAAAATCAGAAAAACATTTAAAGAAAGAAGAAAATTAACAGTTACAAAAAAAATCAGAAAAAACTGAAAAAATCCTACATAACAGAAATTTAATATTTATAGTCTCCTATATTTGTTTTATTTATACTTGATAGTATATAAATGACATTTCTCAGAATAGTTCTTTTTCTGGAGATGAATTCATTGTTTAATAAAATATTAACCTCTAGATTTAATACCTACAGCTTAACAAGTACATTCAAAGCTTAATGCACACACAACCACACACACAGAGCTTCATGAATATCAGCTATTTTTGGTACAATACGGTCCTATCATGCTTCATATTGAAACTAATAACTAATCAGGATCTCATAACTTGCTGTGTGTGTGGCACACACCCCTAATCCCAGGGATTCTGGAGGCTGAGACAGGAGAATTGCAAGTGTGATGCCAGCCTTAGCAATTTAGCGAGGCACTGTATCAAAAAAAAAAAAAATTAAAATGGGCCTGGGGAAGTGGCTTAGTGACAAAGTACCCCTGGGTTTAAATCCTAGGACAGGGGGAAAAAATCAGAATCTCATAATTTTACCCATTTGTAGACCTTATTAAAAAACCTCAAATCTTAAAAAAACAAGAAAAAGAAAGAAAGAAAGAAAGAAAGAAATTGATGACCTTTACAAGGTTACGTCAGCCTTCACCAGAGAAATAACATAAAGGAAACAACATTTTTCATTCTACAAGAATAGACAGAGTTAATGATAAAAGGTGTTGGTGGGGGGGAATGGAAGAAGTTTCAAGCATAAAACTGTTCTAATTCAATTATGAACAGTGGGTACTTTCCATACATATTTGTTCCTTTCGCCTTTACATTATTGATGTGTAGCTCTTGGAAATTCCACCAAATGTTTGGTGGTGTTATAGGTAAGGGTTGTTATAAATAGTTCGGCAGCTTCATTATTGAACTTTTTCTAGGATTCAGGAATTAATAGCTCCCCTTTTGTTTAGGATGGGAGGTGAGTGGAAGTTGGTAAAAGGAACTTATTCTAGGTGAGAGGCTACCATGTACCCAAAAGACTTCATGAATTTCAGACAGCTTCATTATGTAAAGAGCCTCTTTAGCTTCGTTTTGATAATAAGCAAACAGGCTATAAGACTTTTAAATACCTTGCCCAAACTTGGAGAGCTCCTCAGGCCTTGGTCAAATTAGACAGCCAGCTAGGGTCTGTGCGTCCGTGAGACTAAGCTCTTTCTATCACATTGTGTTCCCTCCAGCTGGTGGGTCACTGAGGTGGAAGCAGCAAGGTTTTTGGTAAACAAGGGACATAGGGTTATTTATGAATAGTTGGACTTGGTGAATGGTCTCCACTGAGGAAGAATTTGCTGACATTCTGCTTTCTAAATTTTGTAATTAAAAGGGTAAGGGTCAGGTTGTCCTAGGATCAAAGTTCTATGCAGATCTCAGTTACACTGGGTCATGGTCAGTTTCAAAGAGGGCTGTGGGGTGTAGGGAGATCTTTAAGTCTCTGTTCCCTACAATAAACACCCATGGGCACTTGAGTTTGAATGCATGGCCATAGCACACACAAGTGTTCTTCAGTGACACTGAAGAGCTATGTGCTACACACTGGGCCAGACTTTACTGACAAGCAGAATAGGCTCAGCTCCCAGAAGGAAGATGGATTTTTAAACATTCAACCCACAAATGAAAATTGAATTACCAATCATGATGAGCAAATTCTTATGCACCCTCCAAAGGCCTGGGTATTAAAGGCTTCATCCCCAAGTGGTGGCTTGGGAGGTGGTGGACACTGGGAAGCGGGGCCTAGTAGGAGATCTTTAGGTCATGGGGGTGTGCCCTTGTGGGGATAGTGGGACCCTGACTACTTTCCCTTTCTTCTGTTTGTTCCCTGGTCATAAGGTGACCATTTTTACTCCACCAATGTATCCCCCACCGAGATGTGCTTCCTCACCATAGACCTAAAACAATGGGGCCAGCTGATAGTAGACACAGACACAGACCTCCTTAACTGTGAACAGTAGTTGACTATTTTGACATAAACCTGTCTAACGCACATACACACTCATGCACTGCCACAGCCTGGCTGGCTGGGCAAAATAGCCGGGGGGGGGGGGGGTGATGAAGAACTTGTGTAGGTTGATACAGCAGGAGTAGGAGCCCTTTATTGTAGGACAGGAGGGGTATTTATACATTCCACAGAGCTTATCTTAATTAACATAAAATAGATACAGCAGTCAACCAATAAGGAATCTCCACACTTAATGGCTTGCTGGCGTTACTTCACAAACCACTCCCTCTGGCAAAATGCCAGGCGCCATCCAGACTTGTTTACAGACTCTAACAATGCACGTGTCAACACACATGTTCCCCATAGATGCAACTGCTGTACATGTCTTGGCATGACACAAATTGTTCGTTAATGAAATGGCAGATTTTCTAGAAATACTGTGGCCCTTAACTTTGACTTTGGAGGCAGGACTTAGTAGATCAGGCCTAAAACACTAATTTTAGGCCTAATTCTGTTGAATTAGAAAGTTGCATTGTTAAGTATTTCTTCTGGAAGCCAACATTAATTGCCTTGACATTTCGTTAGTTCTCCATGGCTGGAACTTCTGAGAACTGGTGACCACTTTAAGGGATTTGAAAATATCTGGGCTATGTTTAAACATCTGCTGTCACATGATTTTTTAAAGCCTTCATAAGGCAGGTATGTTTTTATTAAGTTTTTGGCATAAGCTATCTTATTCTGTTTCAGATAAACTATTTGATACAGAGTCCTAAACATGCATTGTGGAGGAGGATTCATGACTCTTTTGCTTCTTATGGTTACACGCGACTCAGGTAAGTTGTGAAAAAAAAAAAAAAAAAACTTTGTTAGTAATCTAGAGGGAATGTCAGGATTTTGTCTTTTTTTTGGGGGGGGGATGGAGGTGGTTACTAAAAATGCTGAGTTTACCAAAATATATTGATTTAAAATTCTACTTTAGAAAGTTGACAACTATTTGGTGTCTCTGAGGTAGAGAATAAAAGATCCATAGCAATGGAATCAAGTAAAAAAGATCCATGTGATAATATTTTTTTTTTAAAAAAAGGACTTAGTTCTCCAAGCTTGTAAAAACTTGTGTCCTGAAATAAATTACATTTGAGAAGAAACTTTGGTTCACGTTATTTGAAACTGAGGAGGAAGCAACTATCTTTATTATGGGTTTTTTTTTTTTTTAGGAAGTTTTGTACACACCAACTCCTTCCTTAGAGGGATGCAAAGATTCATCTGATTCTTTAGGAAATAATAAGTACCTTATAGATTTATAAACAATATCAGGGCTAGAAAGAATAAACAAGAAAGAGACTGGTTAGATTAGGGAGACAAGTAGGTTTCTAGGTGGATATCAAGTACGATTTCTAAACTTATTAACAACGATACTTGAAAGTCCCCTCTGCCTCAACCCTCTTGAAAAGAATTCTGAAACCCCATTCTTTGGAGAAGAGTTCCATGATTGGATGGCAAGTTTTCCCTCAGGCTTTGGAGGGTAAAGTGGGAGCACATATGAGACTTTGCCTGGATATATTGTCTAGGAGAAGGGAACATCTACTTTGGTAAATTATTGCTGAAGGTCTAGCTGAGTTAGTAGATACTTTCAAATAACGTAGGTCCAGTCTTGAGTATGGTTACTTAAATGGGTCCTCTATTGTTGTGATGGCACCAAGGCTACAATGCAGTACTTTCCAAACATTAAAGGAACAAAGTAGATATTCTCTTCCTGATAGAGAATAATCTGTCAGAAAGTACTGAGTGGAAAATCAAGGTGCAGGAAGAGGTGTGTGCATGGATCCCACGTTCTGTTCACATGCACCAACAAACTTGCTCCCAGTTACCGTGAAACATGTTAATCAGCTTTGCATTGCTGTGACCAAAATACGTGACAAGAACAATTTAGGGGAGGAAAAGTTTGTTTTGGGGTCACAGTTTCAGAGGTTCAATCCATGGCCTTTCCATACTTCACCACTCTGGGCTGAAGAAAGAAGCAAGGGATAAAATATATCCCCCCAAAGCATGCCCTCAATGACCTACTTCCTCCAACCCCATCAACCAAGCCTAGAGTAACCTTCCAATTATTAATCCATAAAAAGGATTAACCCTCTGATGAGATTATAGCTCTCACACTCTAATTACTTCACCTCTGGACATTTTTTTTTTAAATTTTTATTTATTTATTTATTTATTTTTAGTCATACATGACAGTAGAATGCATTTTGTATATAATACATACATGGAATGTACATACATTAATCATATTGTCTATCATGTTGCATTGCCCAACATGAGCTTTTTTGAGGTCACTTCTTATCCAAACCATAACAGGATGTTTCAGAACACAAATACAACTCTAAGATCTGCTGTGTAATGTTGCCAGAGTCCCAGTTTCTTGTCTTTTCAGGTAGTTGGACAGGACCTTCCATTAGTGGGTAACTGGGGGCCGACATAGCACTATTCTATCTGTAGAAGTCATTTAACTTAGTTGAAGTTAGGTGACAAAATCTTATGCTTGTCCAAACTCAAGACTGTTCCAAAGGATACAGGTTATTGGCCTTGCTGGATTCATAGACCCTGCTCATGGAAAAATCGGAATACTGTTCTTAGACCTTGAACTCTACTTACCTGAACTTCACTCATTTCTACAAACATTATTCCAAACAAGCATTATATTTCTTCAAATGATAACTATTTCCTAAGAGGAATGAGTGCATATGTTCATCAAAACACAGGCATATTTATACAGGCATTTAAAAACTTTTTTGTTCCTTTTAGATATATCTGACAGTAGAGTATATTTTGACATATTATACGTACATGGAGTGTAACTTATTCTAATTAGGATTTTACAAACATTTTAAAATATTAATCAAAACTTGGAAAACATGGAATAACCCAGATATCCTGTAGACACTTCTCTAATAACCCAATTTCTTAGTATTTTTCAATTTATAGAATTAATAGTCAAATAGTAACACAACTTGCATAACAATGAAAAAAGAACATATCCCTGCCGCATGTAGCAACCTGGTGCCTGTCACAGACAGAGTGGTGTACAGAAGAATTCAGACTCAGAAGAGCAAATCTGATATGATTCTGCATTTTATTACATATGCAAAACTCTAATACAGGAAAGCAAATGAACTGTCAATGGCTTGCCATATTTTGAGTTTCTTATATATTTTTATCACACCTTCTGTGTTGAAGTACTGAAATGTAAAACAGAGATTATGTGACAACCACTAAACAGAATTGGTTGATGCTCATTAACTCTTGAACTTTGAGACAGACTTGATATTCCACAGTTTCAAAGAGTGCTTCTACCCTTTGGGCCACTTCCTCTTTATGCTGTGGTCAACGATGCTGAGTTAAAACCAGCCTGTTGCTTTCAGAAATAAACTGTCGCTGTAGAGAGCACTTTGTTGATGTTCTCAGGGAAAAGTTGCATTCGATTAAAAGATTCTCATTTTCCCAATGTGGATGAAGGCCACCCTGGAGCCACCAGAGGACAAGATATGAGAAAGGGCCACTAAAGCCAGGTTTGAACTCCCAGGAGTACAAGAGTGGCAAGAAGGCCTACCCTCTGAGCAGATCAGATCAAATTCCAAGGCCAGAGAATCCGGGAGAATTGAGAAAGAAGGAGGGAGACCGAACAGGAGACCAAATAGCAGAAGTGACAGATACCAGAATTTGGAGTGATACTATATTGATTAATATAGTATTAATTACTATATTAATTACTATGATTATCCCCATGGTAACCTACAGAAATAACAACCCTATGCATACTTCAAGCTGCAGGAATACGTTTAACCATCCTCACACCTGCCCAGGAAATGGGCAGGTCAACTGATGGGCTGGGTACAAGCTTGGTGAGATTTCTGAGGATGCAGATGAAGGTCTCTAGGTATCTGTTTCCTTTGGCATGGAGACTTCCTGGCTAGGGATGCTTTGGGGGTAGGTGTGGCAACACCATGGCCTGTAGTTTCAGTTGTCTTGTGCAAAATTTTCTTTTGAAAGATGGCACTTGTCAGGTCTGTCTTCTCGATGGATGTAGTAGGTTAGGTTCTCACACCTCCCTGTTTAGGAGGAATCATTGAAAGTTTTGTCTTCATTGTCTTCTGGAAAGTGTCTTATCCCTCATAGTGTTCGAAAGTCATATGCTAAAAATAAAGAAACCATGGGACGGTGACACTGAGAATTCTCAGAGCTTTCTTATGAACCTTTGCTTCTTCACCTAATGCATCAAGAGAAAAAGTTACTTTCTTCATTTGTTTTTTGGTTTTCTCCCTTTTCTTTTACTTATCTTTAGAAACGTGTTTTTCACGGCCCAATATTAGCGCGGTGGAAGGGGAACCTTTTTATCTGAAACATTGCTCCTCTTCGCACACAAGTGAAAATGAGGAAACCTCTGTAAGATGGTACAAAAGCAGCAAGTCGAACGGACGCACTGAGCTGAACCCAGGCAGCTCTCCCAGAATTACTATGTATGACAACACTTTGGAATTTTGGCCACTAGAGTTAGAAGACCAGGGCTCTTATTTTTCCCAAATGGGGTAAGTATATCTTTTTGCTTTGCAGTCCTCTTGGACTCTGTTCAGCCACTCAATTATAAAGAAATCTAACATGAAATAAATATTTCATTATTGAAAAAATAATCTTTTTTTTTTTCTTCTTAGTCATCATAAAGACTTCAGTAAGATTTCCTGTTTAGGGATCCTTGTTAATTAGTGCGGACTGAGTAAAGGTCGGTTTTAGAAGTCAGATGCTCCTGATATCCTGGTGAAGTGACATCAACGGCTAGGACTTCATAATGACATTGATGTGTAGAGAAGGGGGAACAGGGTCATTCTCCTGGGTAGCATCTTCAGGTGGCAGAGAGGATGGCATTGATGGAGACACATGGTACTCTAGTTTTCAAGGCTCACCGGGATCCAGATGGCAGTGCTAGAGGAGGAGGTGTGTGTTCAAGAGCCAACCAAAACCCTACAGCCCTGAGCTAGTGATGAAGGGGAACAGGGACAGGGCTCTATAGTGTACTCATGCTGTAGCCTGAGATTATGCCAGGATAATAATAATGGAGAAATGCAACTATTATGAAACAAGAGCAATCCATTGGATATTGAATACATCAATCACTGTTACTGGACTTGGTTCTGTTGACAGGAACATACAGAAACATGTGCACACATATATGTACACATATACACATGTATGCATGCCTTTATCTAGAGATTTGAGAAAATACCTCGGGGCTGGCTGAGTGGTGTCACTGTGCTGTGAGATGTAGCAGAGTTCTTTTAGAAATCTTGTTCTTTGCACTGGAGTGAGTCCTGATAACTCTCACCCCGTCTTTGAGAGCAGGGTGAGATATCACAGTGAAACCTCGATATCACTCCTGTGGTTTTGCACAAAATGAGGTCATGGGTTTTTTTTGGTTTTTATACATAGAAACTCCCAAGAGTCATAAAGAAATTACAGAACTCTTTCAAAAGTCAGTGCATTTCATGTGACCTTTTAAAGAGAGATAATTGCAGAAAATGGGTCACGACTGGATTTTTCAGAGCAGGTTAAGGAAGATTGAAGACGGTACTTGTAAATTGGGTGGAGGAAGAGAACAACAAACACTTCCGAACCCTGATTGAATACAGGAACAAGGACAGGGCAGAACCATCAAAACCAAGGGGACAAACCCGTTGTCTGTGACCAACTTGGAGATGTGACATGGGAGTACAGAGAACACAACTCACCACAGGAAGCCACATGGAGTTATTAGCTAGAGAGATGATGTCAGAGAGGCATGGAAACTCAGGGGTTGGATAGGAGAGGGCAAGAAAACAGGGTGGCGCAGAGTGGCCTTGGTGACAAACTTTGAAAGTTGTTGGAGACTGATGAGTAAAATGTGAGAGTAAGCAATGGGGGAGAAGCAACTTTCACAATAGGGTGACGATGGTGGGTTCTATCTGGGAGTGAGTTGTTTAGGCCACTTAGGATGGTGGAAAATATAGAGGTGCTCAACATAGAGCAATCAGTAAGCAGCGTCCTGGTTTTACTATAGGTGTGTGTGTGTGTGTGTGTGTGTGTGCGCGCATGCGCGCACGCATGTGTGCGTGCACATGCATGTGCATATATGTACATGCACAAGTGTGTGCCCACTCAGGTGCACATTAGCTTTTGTAGTTTGGTGTGGGAGCTGCTTTCAATGTGCACACCCTCCACTTGGAATTCTCCCATGGGAATTGTAATCCCTTAATTCTTAACGGACTGCATTTACTAATAATCAAATGCTTCTGGGGACCCATACTTTAATCCTGCAGTGATTTGTCCCAACATATTTTAAGGAGGAAACCAATTAAGAAGGAAAGGTTTCCAGAAGAAAGAGTTTTCTCTGAACAGAGTCAAAGAAATGAAGGTAGAGCGAGAAGCACACTTTAAAAACTAATAATTAGATCCTGAGTTGATGAGCAGCAAGTTGGGCTTGGCGAGGTCCCCCCAGAGAGCGGACTGGAGGTTTTTAAGCCCTTTCTGTGCATGGCCAGAGGGGGAGCTCAGAGGCAGAGTGCAGTTAGTGGTCCCAACTAGCAGGGGGTCAGAGTCCACAGCTTTGGGTCAGTTGGCCTCAGCCTCACATCAGCCTCCAGTTCTTCTGTAGCAAGTGTGGCCTGTTGCTTCTTTCCACGTCTGCAGTGTAATGTTGCACGTGTGACGAGCACTCATTCTGTCAGTTTCCTGAGTGTTAGGAGGTGGACTACACAGGTAAAGAGCATGATCTACTAAGATGAGAACTTGTACATGTCTGTTCCTTAAAAGCAACAGGTCAGAGAGACCTGGAAATAATCTCTCTATCCAGATTAGTGAGGCTGGAGTTGGGGAAACTTCAGCAAACACTTGAGAAGAGAAGGGTGCCAATGGGAGTCTGAGTCCTTCTCAAGGGCCAGGCGGCTCCATTATGTCTCATGGCCACTGACCCACTGCATTTAACTGTGACAACCGCCTGCCACCCTCTCCAGCACTGGACCATCTTCAGATAATGCCCAAAGTGAGGAGCCAGATTTACATGGATTGTACAAAACACTCCTGGCCCTTGGGGCTAACCAGGTGTGCATTCCCATCTGGCCTCACCCTGAATAGGTGTGTGACCTTGGGCAAGTGGTTTAACTTCTCTGAGATTGAGCTTTTCCTTCTGAACATAGGGAAAATGCCTGGTACAACAGCTGGAGCTTGGTGGTAGCCTTGTCTTGCTCCCAGCCTCTTCTAGACTTAAAGGGGAGCTGGGAGAGCCTAAGTTGGGTGCCCATTGGTCAGGCACACAGCACCTGTCTGCTGTATTTGGGAGATGGATTCATATGTATACAAGTCTATGACATCACGTATGGATACGTATATCACATGTGCAATGTAAGCAAACGTCAGACTATAAACGTTTTCTTTTCTTTTTTTTTAAGAGAGAGAGAGAGAGAATTTTTTTTTAATATTTATTTTTTAGTTTTCGGCAGACACAACATCTTTGTTTGTATGTGGTGCTGAGGATCGAACCCAGGCCACACGCATGCCAGGCGAGCGCGCTACCGCTTGAGCCATATCCCCAGCCCCAAAGTTTTCTTTTTAAAATTACTCATTTCTGACCAGAAGGAACCACTATAAAATCTATTCAGATTCACTTCTGTTCAGTAAAGGGCTCATATAGATGTGCTGAGGGCCAGAATAGACTTTGTGTGACTCAACAGTGTAAGAGACAGGGATTGGAATACACTGACCTGAGATACATAAACCTAATGTATATACTTACTCATTCAGAAGACTGCCAGGAGTTTATAGACATCAGGAAAACAAGGCCACCCTCTCATCCTGACCTAGGATTCTCTGTTCTTGTCCCTTAATAAAGATTACCCAAGTTTTAGACATCTGCTGTTCTAACATCCATAAGATACAGCCAGGTGTGTGTGTGTGTGTGTGTGTGTGTGTGTGTGTGTGTGTGTGTGTGTTTATTGCTCAGGGTTTTATCTTTCACCCTAGGACTATTGTTAAATTTCTTGCTGCTCTGAAATAAGAGGAGGCAAAGTAGGGTATAGACAATCAATGCATCAATCTCTTTATACAAAAATTAGGAATAAATTATAGGATCAATGACAACAGGGAAGGTGGTTGATAGCTATAAGGTTTCTGTCATAATTATTAAATGCTTTTACACTTTTATTTCATAGAAATGATACTCAGGAGCGGACATTAACCGTCACCAGAAGAAACATACACAGCTGTTTTAATGAAAAACAAGTAACTAGCAAACCTGTGGGAGTTGAGAAAGTTTTGGAGATTCCATGTACAAATGATTACTATCAGAAACGGATCAAGAAAACATCATTATATAAGGTAACACTTGAAAAGTATTTCAGCTTACAACATGATAGCAAAGATAAAATTCCCAAATGAAGATCTGGTGGCTGTGGACCATTTTGGTCTCCTAACAGACAAGCCTTCTGAACCTACACAGCTCGAATGGCCTGTTGAGTGGGGTGTCCCTGCGGGGTTATTGGGAAGATCTAAAGTACACAACGTGTGTAGCCCAGTAGCTTCTCTGTTCTGTGTGAGTTGTCCAATCAATTTTGACAGCTTCGGCCCTTCCTTCCTTTTCCTTCTCCTTCAATTAATTAATTTTTGGTAATGTGAGTTTAAGTTTTTCATTTTCTTAAATCATAAACACTTAAAATTCAAAACTTGAGTGCATGTGTTTTTTCCCTAACAATACAAGTTTATTTTATAAAGTTGAAAGATGGAAAAATATAAAATGAAAGCAAAAAATCACTCATAATCCCACCAGCCACTTTTTTTTTCCTGTGTAAACATCTACTTTTAAAAAGTGCTTTGTTCTATTGTTAGTGTCTCTCTTTTACTCACTAAAAAATTATATTTGATTATTCACCTACATCTTTAAACATTCTTCCAAATAGAGGATTCCATTGGTTTCACCTAACAGATTCCCTTGTATTAGACATTAGTACATTCCCAATTTTTCTCTCTTATTTAAAGGCTAAAATGAGTATGATTTCCATAGGTCTTTGGGTGTTTATATAATTTGTCTACAATCAAATCCCTAAAGTATATCATTGGATCAAAAGTTGATGGCATATTTATGACTTTTGATACACAATATCATGTTAGCTTCTGGGAGGCTTTGCTAGCATAAGGCCCCACACTTGGTATAAGAATTCTTCTTCCTTATATTTACCCCAAACTGGGAAATGATGCTTTCAGAATTGAAAAATATGACATGGAAAATTTCTGAACCTCTTAGTAATTTTTTTCTGTTCTTTTCTTAATAATGAATTAAATACTTTAATATGTTTATTATATCATATTATTCCTTTTGTGGACAGCTTGTACATTTTCTCTTTTTCAGTTGATATACCTTTTTCTTGTTGGGTTATAAGAGGTCTTTTAAACAATGCTACAGAGATTCTATATATACTTGTGTGTGTGTGTATCCTGTGTTGTGTGTAAAGAACATACACACACATCTAAGCACTTGCACAACTCCAACAACATAGTTTCTATAGAATAAATATGAATAATCTGACTCTATCATGGAAACTTGGAAGAGCTTCAGGAGTGGGTGGTCTGAATAGGAAAGAGCTGAGAAACTTGAAGCAACAAAGGATTTACCCTGTTTACTTGGATTTTTCAAGGAGACCTCTTACCTGACATGTTTTCTAAACATTGAGTCAGTCCCCAGTTGACTTGTTTCTGTTTCCCATCGAAGGTCCACATGTTTTACAGTTCACGAAAATCAGTAAGTTCAACATATTGGGTTTTAGAGTCCCAAGGTACAGATACCCACATTTAGGAAAGGGGCATCCTAAGGATGTTTTTAGCTAAACAATTGACACAGGGGCTAAGTGTTCTCATCCTGTGGATCGATTGTGACCTGTTTGAGGGGAGGAGAACAAGGACACTCAATTTGTCAAGGGCTAATTGGAGTTTCTGATATTCTGTGTATCCTGGAAAAATCAGTTTGGGTTTATAAAAATTTGACTTATACAGAAACATGTTACTGTTCTGAGGTACCCCTGTGGGTACTAGCTACACAAGCCTGTTTTGTCTGGGTCCAGCCACAGTGGCCACCAGCTTTGACCAGCTTTGAGGGAGAAGTCTGTGGATACTAGCTCCTTTTTATTTGATATTGTCAGGAAGAATGTCAACTGGTAAGGGTCAGCCATTCAGTTCCCCTATTCTCCTTCTGTTCTCATCCCTAGACTTATTCCCAGGGTGCCTAGTTCATAGTATACAGAGTCAGAATGAAGTGTTACATTTTGAAACAGGCTTGTGCAGAAAGTTTTGAACAGAATAGAAATTATTTGGGGGGGTGGGTGGTGGTATTTGTGTGTGTGTGTGTGTGTGTGTGTGGTGCTGGGGATTGAACCCAGGGCCTTGTGCATGTGAAGCAAGCACTCCACCAACTGAGTGATATCCTCAGCCCTTTGATGTGTTTTTGCTATTATTGTTGTATTGTGTGTGTGTGTGTGTGTGTGTGTAAAATATAGTTTAAAATGAAATGCGGACAGTGGTTATGGTGCCCCAGTGCTCCATTTCCCAGGACAAGACAGGGATAACAAGGTCATGGGGTCACACTTCATTGATCATTGCTCCAATGAGAGCAAGATCAAGTCACTGGGACATTTTCTCAATAATTGCTGATTTCTGTTCAGTTTTCCTTTTTTTCTCTAAGGATCTTAAGCTTTAATTGTGAATGATTGTAATACAAATATTGCCTTTGCTTACTGAAAATATTTTAACTTGCTTTTTTAAAAAAACAGAACTGTGAAAAGTTAGCTGAAGACAATTCTAGCCTATTTATGATGAAGAACGCTGAGTTCAGTGACCAGGGATTTTACTCCTGTGTGTTTTCTGTTTATCATAATGGAAAATTTTATAACATCACCAAAACCTACAACGTAATAGTAACTGAAGGTAAGAGAAATCCCAGAATTGGGAAGAAACAAAATTATATTAAAAAAACAGAATCTTTCTTGGAAGGTCACCTAGGAACTCAGAGCTCATTTTGTTGAGCTTGTGACCATGTCACTCATTAAAATTAATAAGATTCAAAATCTTCATTTTGGTTTCCAGCCACCTGACTGAATTTTTTTTTTTTTAATTGGGGCAGCAAACGAAAGGATACATGGGTGAACCAACCTCATAGAAGTCAGCTGTATTTTATTTATAATTCGAGTAAATTGTAGAATTTTGGGGTCATTAAACTTTTGTTTCCACACAACAAATATTTACTGTGGACGCAAATATTTCTGGAGGGCCTCTATTTTCAAAAACTGTACTTAGTATGGAGAGGCCAGGGAAGCAGGGAAATATAGAATTGAGAGAGTTAAGCACTGTTTTCAGGGAATATAAAGACCCAATAAGCTACAGAAAGATGCCATCATCTGTGGAGCATCTGTGAGGCTGCCTGAGGGTGGTAGGAGTTGCAGGAAGGACAGATGCAGGGGGCTCCATTTGAGCTAGGTCTTTGTGGGAGAGCATCACAAAGGGGCGGGATTGCCGAAGTCCTGCTGCAGCAAACTAACGGGTGGGGGGGGGGGGTGACGAACAACTTGTGTACATTGATACAGCAGGAGTGGAAGCTGTTTATTGTAGGACAACAGAGGTATTTATACATTCCACACAGCTTATCTAATTAGCATAAACTAGATATAGCAGTCAACCAATAAGAAATCTCCACACTTAATGGCTCGCTGGCGTTACTTCACAAACCACTCCCTCTGGCAAAATGCCAGGCGCCATCCAGACTTGTTTACAGACCTTAACACTGGATGTACTAGGAAAGGGCTGATAGACTGAGCTGTAAGTGGCACATGGGTGCTACTAGGAGTTGGAGGATAACACATGGTCTGGTTTGCCATGCCCCCCCAGACTAGAGATGATGAAAAAAATAAAGCACAGCATTTTAGAGTGACAGGGACCTTAGAGTCATTTAACTAAACCTCATTCCACGAAGGATGTGGTGTGGACGATAATTGGTCATTTGTGACCAAGGGTGGTTCCTTCTTGGGATTTTCCAAGGCAATCATCAAATCGCACAGAAGCTTAGCCTAGATTTTAATATCTGATTACAGGAAAGTCTGTTTATTTTCCCACTGAGTTCAAACACGCCTTCTTGCACCTTCTATCTACTGTTGCTTGATTTCAATAACTTCAAAGATTGGTCCCTTCTTAACATAAAAATTTCTTCCTTTGCTTGAAGATAGATGATTTGTCCATGCTGGACTTATGTCCCACCCCCACCCCCCCACCATCCAGGAAAACTAAAACTTTGGGTGGGTAACTCATCCAGCCAAATCTGTGGGTTCAGTTTTCTTTCTTTTTAAAAAATTTGTTTTAATTAGCTATACATGAAATATTGGTAACATATCAACTTTAGCAAAATCTTTCCTCTTTAACTATCCACATATATGGCTATATACCCGTGTGCTACTACTGTAACAAAGTGCCACAAGCCTAGTGTCTGTCCTCAAGTAGCATGTATTTATTATCTTACAGTTCTGGAAGTCAGACTCCAGAGTAGATTGACTGGGCTTAAAATCAGAGTTTCAGCAGGATTGAGCCACTTCTGGAGGCTGTAAGGGAGAATGTTCCCCAGCTTCCAGAGGCCATCTGCAAGTCTTGGATCGTATCAGTTCATCTTCAGAGCCAAGAGCAGAGGACCACCGAGTCTTCTCTCTCTCTCAATTTTGCTTCCATCATGTTGTGACTTTCTGTCTCTCTTTTCTGAGGACACCTGTGATTGCATTCAGGGTCCACCTGGATAATCCAGGATCATCTCCTCATCTCAACATCCTTCACTTAATCTTGTCTACAAAATCCGTGTCTTCGTTCACTTCCTTTGCTATAACAGAGTACCACAGAGTAGACCCATGGTAAATGACAGATGTTTACTTGAGGAGGCTAGGGATTCCCAGAGGAAGGGCCACATCTGAGGAGGGTCTTCATGCTGCATCATGCCTAGGCAGGAGGGCAGTCCAGCATGTGTGAGCAGAGAAAAATGGGAGTGGACTCATCCTTCTCATCAGGATCCCACTCCCACAACAACCAACCCACTCCAGCAATGATAATATTAATCGTTTTTTAAAGTGCAGCACTCATGACCTCATTACCTGCGGAGTGGGATTTATTCACTGTGGGAACTATTAATCTGCCTTCTGTGGCCATTAGCTGGGAATGCCACCCCTGAATTCCTAAACTCCAAAGTCTTAAATTCTATTGTAATTATCGACTATAAATTCTTGAGCTTTACTTTCTCATGGGTATATTTTCATTTCCTATAAACCTCTGGTCCCTTGATATTGTCACCCCCTCTTCTTTCCCCCAGTCATCTTTACTTTCTGCCCATCACCACCTCTTTCCTTCCTTCCTTGAAGATGCAACAGGATATCTATTATTAAATGGCAGAGATGGCACCAGCTACTTTAGTTGAACTGCCCCTTACCGTCTTCATGACAGTGAGGTTGTGACCCTGGGCTGCTTGGCTTCTCTCTAACGTTTTGTCTTCAGTCAATGAGACAGTGGTGTTTCTCAGCATTCTGCAGTTCTCAGCTGCTTTAGGCTGCACGCTAGCATACAGTGGGAGGCTGCTGGGTGATGCACTCCTATCTAAGCATGACCAGATGGGCCGAGCAGGACACCACTGTATTCTTCTAGTCAGGGATGGAAATCTCTCAGCATCAGAAGTAGAAGCGGACTTTCAGGTGTGGACCCCAGCAGGGCTGGGGCTGGGCTGAGCCGAGTGAGTCACCAGGACAAGACACTGAAGGGAATCTCCTCTGTGTGTCCTGCACAAGGAGGTTTGGCACCTGAGAGTGACATCATTCAGATTATATGAACTGTTTAGAGATTTTTCTGTTTAATAATTATGGACCACAGTGGGCCTTGGGTGAGATTGTAATTGCAGAAAGCAAACCATAGATATAGGGGACTGGTATGTTAAGGTTTTTATTACATGGAATGAGCCTATTGTGACAGAGAAGTTGATATTTTTATTTTCTTTTTCACATTTAGGTCAGAAGAATATGGCTCCCGTTCTTATTGGACCAAAGATTAATTATGTTGAAGTGGAATTAGGTATATTTTTAATATGTATATTTCTTGCATTTATGAGTATGGGGCATAATTGGGTTTTCAAGGGGCAAATCTCATTCATTTTTAATTGACATCATGTGCACAATACACTCCATATTTGGTGAAGAGTACTAGCACTGCAAAATCAAGAAAAGCATGTCTTTGAATGTTGCCATCTTTAGACTGATTAAAATGAACAGTCTGTTCAAAAGACTGTGGCACTGTCTATGGTTTTTAGACTAGGATTTCTGTCACCCTGTGTGTGGCTTTTCTCTAATGGTCTCCAAGGTCATTTCTAAATAGGAAAATTTGGCGATAACACTCTGGGGAGATGAGTCAAACTGGCTTTGTGCTTTGAATATTCAATTAATTAATTCACTTGGAATCAATGGGCCACATCAGCTGTAATTTAGGATTTGTTTGACAGGTCTTATGAATCAACATGTCCAGTTGAGCCATTTCTTTCAAATAGGAAAGTTAAAAAAAAAGGCAGAAATTCACATCTGCTAAATGTGCTAACCCAGGTATTGGCTAAGTGATTGAAATACTTTATTTGAATTAGATTTTCTAATCAACTCAGATGGGTATTAGACATGTTTTATGGATTAAATAACAGATATACAGAAAGGCTAAGTAACTTGTCTAAACTTAAACTGCTGGAAAGTGGAAGAGTGGGGATCATAGTCTCGGTCATTGCTTCCAAAGTCCACAGCTTGGAATCGATGTTGGGGTCATAGTAGTTCATATGATAACGCATGCCCGGAGCCTGTCAGATAAGATGTCCTCTGTACTTGCACTTTGTCTGCTTTTTATTTTTATTGATTCTAGTCCATGTCTATATTATTTCTTTCCTCTCATTTTGGGCTTTTTTCTTTTCTTTTTCTTTTTTTTTTTTTTTCTAGTACTGGGGATTGAACTCAGGGGCACTCAACCACTAAGCCACATCCCCAGCTCTATCTTCTATTTTATTTAGAGACAGGGTCTTACTGAGTTGCTTAGAGCCTCATTTTTGCTGAGACTGGCTTTAAAATTGTGATCCTCCTACCTCAGCCTCCTGAGCTGCTGGGATTACAGGCATGGGCCGGGTGGGCTTTTTGCTTTCTTACTTTCCTAATAGTATGTACATTTTATGCCCTAAATTTCCTTCTGAGTACTATTTTTAGCTACTTCTACTAAGAATTGGTATATCATATGTAATACTATTTTGTTTCAAACATTTTAAAAAATAATTCCCTTGTGATTTTTTTCTTTAATCCATGGATTATTTTTGTTCTTAATTTCCAAATGTCTGAGGATTTTCTAGTCATGTTCCTGTTATTGATGTTCAATTTAGTTTCACTATAGTCCATGATTAGAGACTCTCATTTTAACCTTCTGAAATTTATAGTGATTTGCTGAAAGGCCAGGATAGGGATTATTTTGATGAATGTTCCAAGTGTAGTTGAAACAAAGATGTATTCTGCAGGTTTGGGTTATATCACTCTTAAGTGTCAATTGGTTAAGTCAATTAATGGTATTATTTACATGATTTACATCCTTACTCATCTTTTGTTTTCCTGCTCTATCTCTTTCTGAGAAAGATACATTAAGATTTCTAAGTGTGATGGTCAATTTGTCTACATGCTCTATGGTTCTTGTCAAATTTTGCTTTCTTTGTGTTGAAGATAGAATATGGGCACATATAAATCTGTGCCTGTTGAATTGACACCTTCATCACTATAGCAATGTCTGTCTATAGCTTTCATAATGCATCCTTCCTCAGTGCCTAGGCTCTCTGGTATGAAATAATCAAGACAGTGTTTTTGGTTTGGGGATTGGCCTGTTTTATTTATTTTTAAATCCATTTATTTCTGAAATTTCTTTGTCCTTATGCGTAAATTCTGTCTTACATAAACTGCATATCTTTGAACCTTTTTTGAAGTCCAATCAGTACATTGTTTTATATTTAAGAAATTACTGATTATGGTTGGTTATATACCTGATATAAAAATGTTTATTCTTTTTAAATGAATTACTCTCATTTATTAAAAATGTCATTCTTTTATTCACTTGTTCATGGTTTCCTCTGTTTTCTTGTAAATAGTTTCTCTAAGTCTTTATCATCTCTGGACCTGCTTCTATCATCTATATTTTCTATTGATTATTGTCACATTTTCTTCCTCTTTGTGTGTCTTTGAATTATTTATTGTTATTGATCTTCATGAATTAAACAACCAAAATGAATGAAGTTTGCATTATTTTCTTGCTATGACTCTTTTTTTTTTTCTGTTAGATAGGCAGAGTGAGGGGCTGAATATCTCTGTTTACTAATAATGGAGCTAGGGTGTCTGGGATGCGGTGTTCTGGGTTACCAATAATGGGGGTGGGGGAGAACACTGCAGTTGTATTTATTATAGGCCTTTTCCTAGAGTGGAACTTGCTTTCCTAAGTACCACAAGGATGACAGTCTTTGTGGCCTCCGATGCTGCCCAAGGCTTTAGCGATAATCCTGCAAGCCTGTGCAGCTGACAAAATCTCCATTGGATTCTCTTATTGCTATGATATCCCTTCTATTTATCCCAAACCCAAACAAATTCCTCATGGAATAAAATGGCTGATCATCTTTGCTCACCCTTGGAGATGTCTTTTTTGACTATGCTTTTTTTATGTATCTTTTTTTTTTTTTTTTTTTGGCTATTTCTCTTTATTTTCCCCTGCACTCTGATAACTTTAATTTTTAGTTAACTTAATTTTTGTAACTTATTAATTTTGTTTTTCTATAAGTTGACTTGACAGTACCTAATAAATCATGTACTAAACATAAAGTCCACTAATGACCCTGTGTTTTAATAATTGATTTAAAAGTTAATATTTATAATTCAGTTCATAGCTTGTCATTGCTATCCAATTCCTCTACTTTATTTTTATTTTTTTTTTATTTAAAAACAAAGCATATTTGCTCTCTTTCTGGAATGTAGTGCAGTTTTTTTACATTGAGTTAACATTCATTGATTTTATTAATTTGAAACCTCTGGGAAATATGAGTTTCTAAAATTGCAATGGTGGTTTTCAACTTTTATCTAGGAAAAACTGTACAGCTGAGTTGCTCGGCTTTGATGAATGAAAATGACATAATTTATTGGAGCTTCTGGAAAGAAATGGACCAATTTAGTAATATACAGGAGGAAGGAAAGAAAACATGGTAAGCATTATGTGATATATAATATATCATAATACATATGATAGGAAAATCATTATATATATATATATATATATATATATATATATATATATATATATCTTTTATATCATATATGTGTGTGTATATGATATAAAAGATGCAGAATTCCTAAGTGGTTGATGTAGTGTTTGGGGTTAGTTTAAATTACAACCAACGTATATATTTTAGCATTATGATCTCCATACCCTAGATCGATGAAATATGAAGAAATTTATTGCCAACATCTATGTTATAGAAACAAGGTCCATGGGGGTTTTTAGCATCACCTTGTCATAGTGGTTATTTTGGTCCTAGGTAGGTGGGATTGTACTTTTTTTCTTACAAAAGAGCAATTACCTAGGATTCATTGTTTTGGGATTTTGAAAAATGTGTTCAGTGCTTCATTTTTACCAATGTGCCAAAATCCCATACATACTGATACTCAAATAGTTTATGTCTTAGTCAGCTTTGTATCACCGTGACCAGAGACCTAGGTGAGAACAATGTAGAGGAGGAAATTGCCGACTCCATAGGTCTGAGCCTGAGATGAGGCAGAACATCATGGCAGAGGGGTACAGCAAACAGAGAGAGAGAAAGCTCCACTTTCCACAGGCAAAACATCTATTCCAAAGGCACACCCTCAATGAACTGCCTTCTCCAGCCGTACCCTACCTGCCTGAGGCTTCCACCCAATTAATCCAAATCAGCTGGTTAATCTCCTGGTTAGGTTATACCTCTCATCATGTAATCATTTTACTTCTGAAAATTCTATCATTTTCTCACACATAAGCTTTTGTGGGATACCTCCATAACAGTCATACCTAAACCATAACAGTCTATTCTTACATTAAAGTATGGCCAGACTTACTACAACAAAAACTACTGAACAGATGGTTGAATGACCCTGGACTATATTGTAATGATTAATTATTATATGAGTACACTTCTTGGGGTCCAGGGAGTGGTGATCTTACCTATCACTTAAGCTGCACTCTGATTTTTTTTTTCCTGAATTTTTACTTTTTTAGCATATTCTTTGTCAGCCTCGTGACTGATCTGTAAGTTCTTAGCACTGCAAGGTCTGGGTCTTCCAGAGCAGGCACATGGTTAGTGCCCAATACATGTAGAATTTAGCTGAATTAATTGCATGGCTTTCCTGCTGGTGTTTCATCCTCAGCAACCATCCTCCATTGAAGTTTTTCACATTTCCTCCTTCTAATGATGCATTTCTAATATTTGGAGGGATAGTAGAACAACTCACCAGGCTACTTAGAATTGAAACATTACCTACAAGAGCAGAAGGTCTTAGAGTAGTCTGCACAAGCTTTAAATGTCATCCCTTATGGCTTCCCAAAGCCTTTTGTGTCTCACTTATGGATTTTTTCATAGGTTGGAGATAGATAGTATTTCTGGATGGGTGAACTCTGTACTGAATTGTGTTCTAAGATGTATTTGAGACAGTCAGAGGCTTCAGTGGGGCTCCATGTCCCAGGACCCACACAAGAGTGTGCTGCCTAACATGCCCTCAGAGCATGGAGGAAGTGAACATTGTCATGAGTGTTTGCATCACATCAGTGAAAGGAAAGCTTGGACCATTTGAGGAAGAGGAAGACAGCTTGCTACCAGTGGTTGTCTCAAGTCATTTTCTGATGTATCTGAACAGCTTAGCTGATATTTCTCTTGTGCCCATGGTATCTGAGAATAGTGATTGAATACTCTGGATATGAATCTGTATCGTGCACAACAGTTTACAGTTGCTCTGGTTTGTATATTATTTGTGTTCAGAACTCCTGCAAAAGTTTAATTCCCAGTCTTGTTAATGATATTGATAGGGAAGACAGTTAAACCAACAGTAGTATTTTGAAGTAACATGTTTTCAAAGCAATTAGATTAGAGTAAGTCATTACAGTGGAGTCCCCATGACTGAATTTCGGTGGCTTTATAAGGAGAAGAGAGGAATACACGTGGAAATGCACACATGATCCCTAAGATAAAGGGATCATGTGTGACAAAGCTCAGGGGTTTCCTTTCTAGAACCTGGGCCATACTGTTTGGACTTTTAGAGTTCCAAAGCTATGGGCTAAATATCTTATTTCCTTTATAAATTTACCTGTTCCAGGTATTTCGTTATAGTAATAAAAGCTACCCAATACAATTGCCTTGTCAGATTGGGTGGAAAACACTTTGTGGGAAGAAGGAGAGAAATAGGAAAAATAATTGATAATCAGTATATTTTCTTGTATTTTCAACTTTGCATCATTATCTTCCTGGCATTTAAATTCTAGATTCTTGATAACATCATTCCAGCTGGTCTCAGGAGGACTGTTTCTGTTGATTATGAGGCTCCACGGAGAGCAGGAGGCTTATTGTAGCTCACGCTTTAAGAGTATCCACCAGAATGAGAAGATTTGATATAGTCAGTGTAGTACCTGCCTTTGAATATGAATTCCCTCTCCTGGGTAAAATTTGCTGATTATGAATAAAGCCTCTTGCTAAATCATTTTCTTCTTACAGGATCTCAGAAGGCAAATCTTATGCTTCAACAATACTGAGAATTGAGAAAGTTAAGGAAAACAATCTAAATTTTTCATATAATTGCACTGTGGTCAATCAGGAAAAAACAGACACCAGTACGTTCATCTTGTTGAGAAAAGGTATGTTTGGAAGCTTGTGGAAACAGCACACAGCTGCTGAGTCAGACACTCCTTTTTTTTTTAATAGTAGAACCAGGCTTCTGAGAGGTGACAAGATTCATCTTACGTCCCAGGCATTCAGTAGCAGGATTAGTGCTCAGCCCTTGCTGGGATTCTCTGTGTCGTGATCCCAAGCAGAATGAAAACACAGAGTTTGCACCTTTGCTCTCACAGTCATATTCCAAACCACAGAGACCAGGTAGACAGAGCAGGGAGGCAGGTAAAGCTAGGGCACGCAGATGCTGATAGGTCTCAGGGGCGGGGGCAGTCAGATCAGCCTTTGCACACCCAATCCTTCACATCCATGACAACCAGAGAAGAGCTTGCAGATCAGTGTGGAAGGAGCCCATTGCACATCAGGCATAATTGCTTCCTCCAGCCTCCTGTAGCAGGGTCCTGGGCTCAGCTGGCCCTTGGGGGTGGTCGCTAATTCAGAAAGCTTAACTGAGGCCTCCTTCCTGGCCATCTCCAGGACATAGCAAGTGGGCAGTTGATGGTCCTCATCTGTGGGATTCTTAGCATTTTCAGTACCCACCTGACGCAATACTCCAGGGTCGTCCATTCCATCATCTACCAACACAGCAGAACTCAGGGCCTTTGGTCCAGTGACTGCTCAGGTGCAGCTGTAGCTTGAGCCAGAAATCTTCTCATTCTATTTGTCATAACTTCCTGCTCATTCCCCATCTCCTTGGATATGTAAGGAAAGGTCAGGATCTGAGAGACGGAGAGGAAGACAGACAGAGACAGGCAGACAGACATGGAGAGATGGAGACAGAGAGAGACAGAAACACAGAGAGACAGAAATGGGAGAGCGACACAGGGAGCTAGGGAGGAACACACAGAGGACAGGAGAGACACACACGCACAGAGAAAGAAGCAGAGACCAAAGACACAGAAATGACTGCCTTGGTTTTTGCAAGAAGCAGAAGGGAGAGGCAGAGAGAACCAAGGGTCAGGACCCTCTGTGCTGCCCCAGGGTCCCTGTAGGGAAGCCCTTGTTCTCCCACATGCAGTCAGAGCAGAAGCTCACATTCATTACATGCTGATTCTGTGACAGACTTGGTGCTCAGCCCTTTCTATGATTTCACCCCATCTCAACAACAAGCTTTTATAATTGAAGAAACTTACTCAAGGTCACATAGCAAGTAAAGGTATTAAAACCCATAACTGATTGACTCTGGAATCGGTGCCTTTCTTCACATCGACAGGTCCCTTCCCTTGCAGGTACCTCTGCCATGTTCATGCACTTGCAAGGCAGAAGCTTTCAAATCTGCTTCTCCTGGTTGACACGCAGACTTGCCTGCATTCCTGGCTGCCTGCTGGCCACCAGCCACCTCCACCCTCCGTGCAGAACTGTCCTTCTTCCTCCTTCCTCCTGCCCTGATCAATTCTCCCTATGTTGAGCTCAAAAATACAGGCTGGGGAATTAGGGCCTCCCAACCCACCCTTTCCCCTGGAGGAAAGTTGTGGACCTGGGTGCATGTGTTTGTATATGTGTCTGTCACAGTCTTGACTATGTAGACACTTCAAAGGTTTAGGAATTCCAGGGCCTGACTTTATTCAGATACACTTACTAAATAACTTTAGTTGCTTACTTGCATCCTAAAAGTTAATTTTACTAGAAAGGTCATCACTGAATATTGTGCTGCTTAAGATGGCAAACACTTTAAACATGTTTGTATTCTGTGAATTAGAATCTACTCTGAGAAAATTAGAATAATCAGAAATATGGATAAACATGTCTACCTATGGCTATCACCACATTGTGGGATGGTTGTTAAAATTAATTTACTCTTTGTACTCCTCTGCATTATCTCATACAATGAGCCCAAACTGAGTACTCTAGGAAATGTAACTTTTTTCCCCAAAGGCAGTTTTCTAATGAAATTTTGCTCAAATTTTGAGGACTTTGTGCCAGGCACTGTGTTAACTACTTTGTGTATAATATCTTCCCCAAAATAAGTAAAGCAGTAACTTTATTTATTAGTTTATTTTTAAAGATGAAAATACTAAGATTGGGGAGTCTCTATGATTTTGCCTCTGATACGAACTAATTGATGGAGCCAAGGCTGCAAACCCAGATAATCTCAGTCCTGGGTTCTGTCAAAACCTTGCATTTCCATTTTCCATTTTCTGCTTACCAAAAGGTTTTTTAGTTTTAGTTTTAGTCAGCTTTTTTGTCACTGTGACATGATCAGAATAATTGTAGAGGAGGAAAAGTTTATTTGGGGGCTCATGATTGCAGGGGTCGCAATTCATAGACTGCTGGCTCCATTTCTTAGGGCTCAAGGTGATGCTGGACATCACGGTGGAGGAGTATGGCAGAGGGAAGCAGCTCACGTGAAGATCAGAAATCAGAGAGAGAGACTCCATTGGCCAGATACAAAATATATACCCCAAAGACATGCCACCAAAGACCCACCTTCTCCACCCACACCATACCTGCCTTCAGTCACCACCCAGTTAATCCCATGAGGGTATCAATTCACTGATTGGGTTAAGACCCTCATAACCCAATTGTTTCTCCTCTAAACCTTCTTGCACTGTCTCACACATGAACTTTTGGGGGATACCTCACATCTAAACCATAACACCAACTGAGATTTCTATTTGAGTCCTTCGTATTTCACCCTAGTTTATCATTGTCCCAGAAATCTGAATTCTCCAGGTGCAGAGTATGCTATAATGTTTTCAGTTCAGGTTTCTGGATATTCTTATACATATTTCAATTCTTTAGAAATTTGAATAGATGAGTACTGCAGACTAACAGCAGGCATTTGAGTTGTTTGATGGAATGTGGGTGAACTTGGGTGGATACCCGAATTAGTGAGAAAGGCAGAAACTGACAACCACAATGTGATGGTGGAAGATGCTGGTGATATTTCTTGGATTAATTATTTTCTTTTTCTCTTTCTTTTGTAGCAAGCAAAGATGACATCCCAGGCGACATCTTCACTGGAGGAATGATTGTAGCAATTTTGATCTCGGTGGTGGTAGTGTGCCTAGTGATTATGGGTATCATCTATAGAGTTGACTTGGCTCTATTTTATAGAAAATTAATGAGAAGAGATGAAACACTAAAAGGTAATAACTGTCATAACGCTGAGACTTCTTATTTCATGATGAAGTTAGTAAACCCAATAGGGAAACATTGACATTCATCTTATTTGGATTGTACTGTTGATTTAATTTTTAGGAGAGTTTTTCCATGAAAAAGTAACCCCACATGTACCCTCCATCATGCATGTTATCATGTGACCATTGCTTGTGCTTGTATGTTTGCAAAAATTGTTCTTTAATTGTTTCACGTATGTATGTCCTGTCCTGCATGTGACACTTGAGTCCAGGAACTGCACATATGGATGCCTTTGTTGACATACCACTTACTGATCTCACCCAGTGCATATACTCAATAAAGCTTGCTTATGTGGAATTGCATTGTTATGTTTTATTATTTTGAACTGGAATAGGAGGCTGTATAATGTACCTGTAAGAATGCGAAACTAGAAGCCAAATTATCTGGGTTCTTGTCTCCTAAATCTACCAGTCTTACCTGCTATTATGTCTACCTGGGGACTCTAAAACTAAGTTTCCCTGTATTTAAAAGGAGTTGAAGTCCTTACAATTACTGAGCTTTAAAAAATCAAGCTAATAGATTTCACTGGCTTTTGTTTATAGATATATTTGTCTGACTGTAGGAAAAAAAAACCCTTCATGTATTTCAAACACTAAAATTCTAAGAAATTACACAATTGGGCATCCCCTGCCCACCCCTGTCCCATGTCTGTGATTCCCACTCTGCCCCACTGATACACACCCAATTGAATATTAACATGGATTCTTGTTTCACTCCCCCTTTTACAAAAAACAAATCTTGGTTTATTGTGCGTACTACTGTAATCTGCTTTATTATTCCTTAGGTATTCCTCCATATCACTTTATATATATGCCCCTTATTTCTAAGTGCTGTTCAGTGTTTTATGTCTGTGGAAGTCCCCATGTTTATTTGACAGGTATTTGGGTTGTTTCCAATTGTCTGTTACTACAGAAATTCTGTGAGGAATGGCTTTCTACATGTGCAGTGATTGGAAGGAAAAAATTCCCCAAAGTGATATTTCTGGCAATACAAAAGGAAGACACAGCTGTTATTTTGGTAGATATTGTAACTTTGCCCTCCATACCACTGTTATTACCACTTTCAAAGAATGAGAGTACATTTTTTTTCCCATAGCCTCACACACCACCACCTTTTGGATTTTTACTAATCTGATAGGTGACTTGTGTCCCTGTGGTATAGTTTTAATTTCCATTGCATTTATTATGCAAGAGCATGAGCAATTTCTTCATTTGTTTAAGACTTCTTTGTGTTTTCATTTACAATATACCTACTCATATCATTTGTTTCTTCTTCCATTGGGCTGATAGCTTTTTTTTTTTTTTTTTTTAATTGGCTCACTGTTCTGGGAGCTTTTTATTTGCCTATTCTCTATAATAAGAAATGTAAATATTCCCATATTGTCATGTGTCTTTTGACTTTGCTTATTTGGTGTGCTATATGGAAGACTCTACTATATCTTTTTGGTCTCTGGATTTGGGGTTTAAAGTACAAAGGGCCTTCTACCTATGGACCCCAGGTAAAGGATTTTTTTTATATTGGATCCTTTGAGATTTTTATCAATTTCTTTGTCTCACTTAGGACTTTTAGTCTGACATCATAAAACTAGCAAAGTCAGCCTGCATGTGCGTATGATTTTGCTATGAGGTGAGAGGCCGCAGCAAACTGGGAGGTCTGTGTTTGGTATTTCCTGCACTGTCATGGCTAGAATCAATTGGTATTTATCCTAGAAAAGGCATTAATAACTCTTTGTCTTTCTGATTTTTATCTAGGATTTTTTTTTCTTTCCAGTGTATTTGATCTGATTTACAGACTTTCTTTTTTTTGTTCATACTTTTAACTCTCCACACGGCACTATACAGAGACATTTAGAGATGTGCTCTAAACCACTTCTACTCAAAGTGTGGTCTGTCAGCAGATACAGTCCATGAAAAGGGCAGAAATGGAGTTTAAAGGATAAAAATAAAAACTTTTATACCAGTTTAATATTGCTGTTATATCCAAGAGTGTGTTTAATATTGGTTTCTGAAAGGTTGAAAATGAAATCAACTAATCAACAACAACAACAAAAACAATTTTAATTAAAACATGCTTTTAACCACACATAGCTTAAGAGGCATTGATATAACTAACTCCTTGTTTTTTTCAAATATCCACTCACATGATGATTTCCTTTATTCAGCATAAAAAAAAAACATCGTTAGCTTTCACATTTCTTTTTTTTTTAATTTTGTTGTTGTTGTTGCACATGGACACAATGCCTTTATTTTGTTTATTTATTTTTATGTGGTGCTGAGGTTTGAACCCAGTGCCTCACACATGCTAGGCAAGTGCTCTACCACTGAGCCATAACTCCAGCCCAACACAATGCCTTTTATTTATTTATTTTTTTATGTGGTGCTGAGAATCGAAGAACCCAGGTCGCGCCCTTGCTAGGCCAGCGCGCTCTACCACTGAGCCACAATCCCAGCCCTACATTTCTTATCTTGAGCGCTTTGTCAAATTTTAAAGCTGTTAAATCTTTCATTACCTGGATTTACAATAAATTGTAACATAGATTTGCAGATTTATATTACAAGAAGAGAGTTGTTTGAAAAAAGAAAAATTGAAAGCAATTTGTAGTTGAAAAACTGATTCTTCATAGGTAAGAGCAACACTGAAATAGAAATCCATCTTTGACTAAATTGTCTTCCCAGTTTATTATGATCAGTAATAAACTGAATGTAAAACAATCACCATTAGTAATTCCTACAATCAGTAGTAAATGGTGCTTAGTTATATAATGCCTATTTTCATCAATGACAATACTAATGGAAGCACTGGCTCTTAACTAATAAATAAACATATGGTACAGCAATCTAGGATAATCATCCAGGTGAACTATTTACTAATTAAACTAATAACCACTTTTATTTTTAACATCATTTCCTATTTTTAATATGCATGCAACTCTGCAATCTTTATAAAATTCTCTATCTTTCATATGCATGAAATTCTGTAAAGCAATTGCTTTACATCAACAACAGGTTCTGACTTGAGCTGTTTATTCAAAATGAAATAGACAGGATGGAGCCAATTTTTGCCAGTGGAAAGTGTTGTTTTGTGAGCTTGATGCTATTGAGGATTTTGGACAGGGCTGGTGGTCTTAAATGCTGTGACCCGACAAATGACATGGATCGAGAATGATTTCATCCCATAATATTTTTTCCATATTTTTTATTGGTGAATTATACATAATGATGGGATTTGTTGTTACATATTTGTACATTCACATGATATAACAATGTAATTTGGGTTATATTTTAACAGAAGATTCAAATTTATTACATTTATCAAATTTTATTAATAAATTTATTATGGCAATTATTAATAATTAAATAAAGATTAATAATAAATAATATAATAATTCCATAATAGTATTATAAATAATCAATAAATTGTTAATAAAAAATTAATCGATAAATTCATTAAAGCCAGTCATAGATTCATTGATCCTGATAATAAGCCAGGCATAAATCTCAGCCGCTACCCAGTTTTCATGAGCTAGAGATAGAACACTCCCCTATCACGTGCCTTCTTTCCTTGCCCATCCCCAGTAGCCTTAGTTGCATTATTTAGGATCGGACCCAAAATGTCGCCTTTCATAAAGCTGGTCCATTGGGATCCCTCTTCATTCTCTGACCAGGTTACTTTGTCTTTCTGTTTTACTTTGTTTTTCATCTGCTAATGAGTGGATTGTGACTTTCCCCAAGTTGTTGCACTTGTCTCCTTTGTCTCCTCAAGTTGATCAGATCAAGCTGAAGAGAAAACTGCGTAATTGTTCAGCTATCCAGTAAGGAGAATGACCTTTGTTATGTAGGTAACGCGTTGCCTGCCAAATCTGTTGGCCATCTGAAAACTGCTCCTGGAGCAAGAGTTCAGTAGGGGCAGCTGTTGGGACCACTGAAAACCTTTCAATGGGTCAGAAGTTTTCCTTTTGACACCTGACTTGCTGTAATATTTTAAATCATCAGTGTGTGTTCTGCTAGCATACTGTCTCAATTACCTCTATGGTTTCTCTTCCTGGTGCAGTGAACAGAGACTCAGCATTGACTCCATCTTTCTTTTTAGGGAGTCCTTTGGTGGGTAGAGATTAGGATACTGGTAGAATTGAATGATGTGAGTCAAGGTGAGATTCGCTTTCACTTCTGGAAGGAGGGCACGTTCCTGCTCCTTGGCCTTCTCTTGTCTTTAAATCCCTCTATGGCCCTGATTGATGGCTTATATTTCTTTCCAGCTCTCAGTGATATCAGCGTGAGTCTTAAAAGTAGATTTTTACAAAGACATTTGATTCAATGTCTGGTTAGCGACTGAGGTTTGGCAATGCTATTTTTAACTTTCCTTTTTTAATGATTCTATACTCACTAATTATGACTTTAGATCAACTTTTACTTAAAACAACTTTGATTTACATATTAATTCAAAGAGTTAATTTTATCTCCTAGATGGAAAAACGTATGATGCTTTTGTGTCTTACCTAAAAGATGGTTGCTCGGAGAATGCAGAAGAGTACACTTTCGCTGTGGAGACTTTGCCCAGGGTGTTGGAAAAACATTTTGGGTACAAGTTATGCATATTTGAGAGGGATGTGGTACCTGGAGGAGGTAAGAAAGGGGATGCCCAAACAGAAAATTAGTAGAGATACTCTTTTTCAAAAGTTGAGTCAGCCAGTTATATAGATAGATGGCTCTCCCTTTTTCCTTAAAAATAAATGAGCAAGGTTCTTTAGAACAGAAATAACCAGACCCGTCAATATTTGGTTCTTAGCTAACCAGATTAATGTGGTTAACCAATACCTTACTATCTCACAGTGAAAAAACAAACTATTGTATTGCCTGCCAATCTACTCTTTCTTGGGCTATATTTGTTCTGCCTCATGGTTCTGCAAAGTTCTGAGAGAAGGGTTGGACATTTTATTTTCAGAGACAAGTTGAGAATTGTCATTATCTTGAGACATTGATCTAGAAACAACCCCCAGAAAGAACACTTATTCCTTGGAACCAGTTTCTAATTTAACCCTTGATGTTTGCACAATGATACGCAGGATAATTCTTACCAGGAATTGCTTGTTCTTTATGGCGTTGATGTTGGTGGGGAAATTAAAGTAGAAGATAGGGGAGTTAGGAAAGAATAGGGGAGTAAAGAATAAGTAAGAGGAGGTTTTGAGTGTTTTCCTAACAGATCATAGGGAATTCAATGTTTTTACTAATATGTAAATACAAACAGCCACAGCACACGTTTCAAGGCAAATTACAGTAAACTTTGGGTACAAGTTATGCATATTTGAGAGGGATGTGGTGCCTGGAGGAGGTAACAAAGGGGATTCCAGACAGAAACCTAGTAGAGATACTCTTTTTCAAAAGCTGATTCAGTCAACTTGCTCTTTACTGGCTTTGTGACTCTGGGGAATTTTCCTGACCATCCTGTGCTCTGGCTTAGTAAAATGGGAGTGATAACAATCCCTTCACGATGATGATTAAATGAGTTAATATGGGTAAAATTTTAAAAGAAGTAACAGAGTGAGAGCTGGGAACATGATCATTATTACTGCCCCTAGGTGGTTGTTTTCAATGGGCATATAAAAATCAAGAATGAATGGCTTATTTTAAAACAAGACTGTGCAAAATAGTTCTTTATTACATGCTCACCCTTTCCAGTCTGCTTCCATTAACAACATGCCTTGTGTTTTCAGCTGTTGTTGACGAAATCCATTCACTGATAGAGAAAAGCCGAAGACTGATCATTGTCCTCAGTAGTAGTTACATGTCCAATGAAGTCAGGTATGAACTTGAAAGTGAACTCCACGAAGCATTGGTGGAAAGAAAAATTAAGATAATCTTAATTGAATTTACACCTGCGAGTGAGTTCTCATTCTTGCCTCAGTCAGTCAACCTCTTGAAATCCCACAGAGTGCTGCAATGGAAGGCTGGTAAGTCTCTTTCCTATGACTCGAGATTCTGGAAAAATCTTCTTTATTTGATGCCTGCAAAAGCCACCAAGCCAAACAAAGGAGAATCAGAAGCCTTGCCTATTTTTTCAGCATATTGAGCTCCAGAAAAGCTGAGTATGGGAAAGAACTCCCGCTGTTCTGGGGAGCAGCATAGGAGCCTGCTCATAACAAAGGCTGTTGTTTAAAATAGACGACTCTTTGAACGTCCTGCTCACAGTTCGAAGATGAGATCTGTCATTAGGTCATTGGGGATAAGACCAAACATTGAGCTGTGGTCCTTCTGGAAAACCCTGGAATGCAAAAGAAATGGAGCTCTTCTTTCTTCCTCTTCTGAAACTGCTGGCAGCTGCTCACATGGATCAGCCGATTCAGCAAGTGTGAGGCTGGGAACCTTGCAAATCAACTTTTGCCTTACATGGAAGGTGCATCTTTAAGAGTTTTCAATGCTAACAATTAATTTGAACGAGAGGATTTTAAGGGTGCAAGGAGCTGTTTTCTATGAACCACTGGATGGTAGTCACTGGAATGCTGCCTTCACCCCCCAGCACTGGCCATCGATCTCTAAATGCATGGGACGTGGAAGGAAAGAGAGGCCTGATGATGTGCAGAGCAGGGAGGTGATGAGGGCCCCTGCTGCAAGCAGGGCCTGAACCTCAAGATATGCGTCCTGTGGCCCAGCCACAGTTGCGAGGAAACAGTTCTTGGAACTCCAGAGAGGCACTGCATGAACCTGGTTTATTCGAACCTGTTTGTAAGAACTTTTAAAAGAGAACCCCAAACAGAAGGACTTTTCACAAAATACCCAAATTTTAATTCATAGGATTCTCTGGGTCTTTTGCTCATAATGTCCTAAAACACTTGTTGATTGTATGTAAATGTTTATATCCAGGATGAGTGCCACTCATAAGATCACGGGATGCACTGAACCACAAGAAAAAAATAAAACATAGGTATTCACTTTTTTTTTTTTTAACAATTAAATTTTTTAAATGCCACTAGTATGGAAGAAGCATGGCATGATGGTGTCCAATCTTGAGTTTGCTACTTAGTTCTGTGACCTCTGGAACTTTACCTAACTTCTCTGTGCCTCGTTTCCACATTGTAAAATTAGATTTTGTAATAGTTTTACCTACTTCTCAGGGTTACTGAGTGAATAAAGTACTTCCAAGTAACTATTCTTGGTGCAGACTTACCACTGAAGTGTTGCTATCACTATTATTGCTGTTACTGATTATTACTTATATCAGTTATTTAACAGTGGATCAAATAGAAGCCACAGAGCTGGAAGGGGAGGCAGATCTGGAGAAGGCGGCATCTGAATTTGAGGGCATTAGTAAATAGAAATATAAGGAGATGCATATTAATAGGGCAAAAGTTACCCCTCCGCTGGACATGTGTTACTTTTGGCCTTAGAAGTCCTACATCTGTTTCCCTAGAGGAACCCCAGTTCTGTGGGCCTTCCAGTTGACCTCAGAAGTAATGCCTGTCCATGAAAATCACCTAGTGATAAGCTGGGCATGGTGGTGCACACCTGCAATCCCAGCGATATGGGAGCCTAAGGCACAAGGATTGAAAGTTCAAAGCCAGCCTCAGAAACTTCGTGAGACCCTAAGAAACATAGCAAGACCCTGTCTCAAAATAAAAAATAGAGAAAGGGCTGCAGATATGGCTCAGTGGTTAAGTGCCCGCAGGGGACTTAACTCAATAGTCTCCGGTACCAAAACTAAACAAAACCAAACCAAAAAACACTGATGACTCGGCCTTACAGAGCAAGGCAAGACAGATATGTACGAAACTGTCAATTTGGGAGGTTGACTAGAACTTTAGTGCAGTATGAATGTTCCGGAAAATTTAAAGAGTCTCTTTAAAACAGAAGATTTTGTTGAACATCCAAGACAAACGAGATTTCTTTGAGAGAGTGAGATGCAATTTTTTGGTGCTTATGATTCTGTGTGCTTGTTGACTGGCTAAAGCTGGTAAATGATTTTTTAAATGAATACCTTATGTTTTATATGTGAAAATATATAATCAAAAAACTTATATTTCTATTATAATGCATAGAATAATTTTGCTTTTCTCTTTTATTATGCATTCTTTAAAACACATTAAGTGTATTTTGTATTAAATGTATTTCACATTAAATATGTGTATTCTATATATTAGATATGTGCTTTAAAGAACTTCAAATATAAAGTAATATGTTAATAAACATTTGGTCTCTGTCTTTATTTTTGAAGTGACTTATGACTCTCTTTTCCACTTACTTGAAAATTGCAAACCCTCACTTTAAACAGATTCCCACCTGATTTTTTTTTTTTTGTACAAGGCATTGAACCCAGGGGTGCTAAACCACCAAGCCACATCCCCAGCCCTTTATTATTATTATTATTATTATTTATTTTGAGAAGGGCTTGCTAAGTTGATTAGGGCCTGGCTAAGTTCTGTGGCTGGCTTTGAACTTGAGATCCTCCTACCTCAACCTGAGCCACTGGGATTACAGCCAAGTACCACTGTGCCTGGTCCCACCTGTTTTAATAAGATATGGGACATTCAAAATGAGCTTCTACCCGCTCATATTTTAATGTGAAGTTACTTTGTGTCTACCTTTTTATTTATCTTCTATCCAGGAGCAAAAGAATTCCCTTTCCTCTCTCCCAAGTCCACATGATACTAAAACAAGGACTTTAAAATGATAGGTCTTCACATGCCAGTTAATGTGCATATTTTAAATTTTAAAAAGAATCCAACCAGGATCAATAAATAACTTTTTAGATATTTGAACATGTTTCTCTTCCATGATTTCAAATATCCTTAAACTGGAAAATCTGTTTCAGAGAATCAGAACAACTAACTCTCTGAATGTATAAAGAAATGCTTCATCTATGTCTATTATTCTATTGGAAAGTATTTATTAAATTTAGAGTCATAGTCCCTCAAAGCAGAGACCAACTTTATGACCCAAGTTTTCCAAACCCAGGAATCTGAGACATGGTATGACTGAGGCATTCAGGATGTGACTGCAGTCACAGAACAGCCTATCCTACCAGTCTGGAACAGGAAAATTCCCAGTTTTCTCTCTTTAAAATTGCACACATTACTTTTTTGACTTAGAATTGCTTTGCCTAGTCTGAGTATTTTTTTTTCTTTCTGTGATTTTTTTTTTCTACTTCTGTGAAGAAAGTCATTGGCATTTTGATGGGAGTTTATTGAATCTGTCTCATTTTTTTGTAATATGGTTATTATAACAATATCATTTCTGTCTATTCATGAACATGGGAGGTCTTTTCATCTTCTGATGTTTTCTTCAATTGTGGAGCAAGTATTTTGCAGGCTGCAAGCACTTCTCTGGGGATGCACATCATACACGGAGAGCCTAGGGCAGGGTCCCACAGAGAGAAAGCAGGTTGCTTAGGACTGGCTCAGAGGATAAAAAGACAGTTAAGAGGAATGTGCTTATAGCCATTAAGGTCAGAGTGGAGGGCAATTAAGCCTTTAAGTTCTGTGTAAGATTAAAGTGCATGCTTATTGGAGCATGCTCATGTGGCATCTACTGCATTAGAGGGATTTTGGACCCTCAACAGGGACTATATCCATGCTTAGTAGCAGGATAGGTGGGTTAGGATTCCCAGAAAGCTATAGAAAGAATGTAGCTACCAACAGCTGTCTGAAGTGAGGACATTAGAAAAATCAGTGCCCCAAACCAAGTTGAATTATAGCTTTAAATACCCTGAGGAAATAACCTGTTACTCTGACTTGAAATGTAGCTACAAAGAAGGAAATACAGGATTAGGAGAAGCCGAATTTCTGAGCAAAAGCTTCTCTAAGAGTAGGATCTTTGAGCAATGGAGGTTCTTCAAAGAGTGGCCCAGCCACAAATCTAACAGGAAACAGCATGTGTGCTCTGTGGGCAGGAACTGGGGCCTTTCAACACCTCTGCATGTCACACTGATAGTCATCAGGGTCCCCGCTGGGAGTTTTGAGCCAACAGCTTTGTGTGTGAGGTTTCTCAAAACATGTTTTTCTCTCTTTCTGGTGTATCTTTTGAATGTACAAACACACAGGGAGCAACATACCTTGTTTATACAATTGCTACACAAATGAGGCAAATGCTTAGTAGTTAGTGGTGACTTCCATACTGAGCTTTAGGAGTCCTAGGGTTCTACAGATGCCTCTGGGGGACCATACTGGATGGAGGGATGGATTCCTGTGAATGTAGTTTAGTCGATTCAATATATTTAGATTTATTTATTTTATTTTGATTTTTAGGGATTGATACTTGAATTTTTATTTTGTTTTTTACCATTGCAAAAATGTTTACATTCTTTTAGGATCTCGCCTCTAAAATAAAGTATGTGCCTGGATGTTCACTTTCTATTCCCTTCCCATCACTTGTTGGCTCCTTCCCCTAAAGGCGAACATTTAAAAAAATCATGTTGGCTTAGCCTCCCCTATTTTAATATAAACATGCATGCATATTATATAAATATTCTCTCGTCTGTCATAGATAAATTGGAAATATTATATACAATTTTTCCACCTTGATTTTTCTTATTTGAATATATTTTGTGTTCACTTCATGATTGTATATGAAGTTACTCTTCATTCTTTTATACAGATACTTATACACTATTGTGTGGCTGTACTATAATTGATTTAACGAGTCAGAAAGATTTCTAGTCTTTTGTTCTAACAACTTGTGTTTTAAAGTATAGTTTTATCAAGGGGGAGAAATTAATTACAGTAGATGGGGTAGAGAGAGAAGATGGGAGGGGAAGGGAGGGGAGGGGGGATAGTAGAGGATAGGAAAGGCAACAGAATACATCATACACTAGTATGGCAATATGTAAAACAGTGGATGTGTAACCGATGTGATTCTGCAATCTCTATACGGGGTAAAACTGGGAGTTCATAACCCACTTGAATCAAATGTATGAAATATGATATGTCAAGAACTATGTAATGTTTTGAACAACCAATAATAAAAATTAAAAAAAAGAATTTTACAAGAACCCCATTTACCAAAAATAAATAAATAAAATAAAATAAACCAAAAAAGTATAGTTTTATGCATACATATTTTCTTTTTTTTCTTTAATTTTTATTGTTGGTTGTTCAAAACATTACATAGTTCTTGACAAATCATATTTCACACTTTGATTCAAGTGGGTTATGAACTCCCATTTTTACCCCATATACAGATTGCAGCATCACATCGGTTACACATCCACTGTTTTACATACTGCTATACTAGTGCCTGTTGTATTCTGCTGCCTTTCCTATCCTCTACTATCCCCCCTCCCCTCCCCTCCCCTCCCATCTTCTCTCTCTACCCCCTCTACTGTAATTCATTTCTCCCCCTTGTTTTTTTCCCCTTTCCCCTCACTTCCTCTTGTATGTAATTCTGTATAACCCTGAGGGTCTCCTTCCATTTCCATGCAATTTCCCTTCTCTTTCCTTTTCCCTCCCACCTCTCACCCCTGTTTAATGTTAATCTTCTTCTCATGCTCTTCCTCCCAACTCTGTTCTTAGTTACTCTCCTTATATCAAAGAAAACATTTGGCATTTGTTTTTTAGGGATTGGCTAGCTTCACTTAGCATAATCTGTTCTAATGCCATCCATTTCCCTGCAAATTCTATGATTTTGTCATTTTTTAATGCAGAGTAATACTCCATTGTGTATAAATGCCACATTTTTTTTTTATCCATTTGTCTATTGAGGGGCATCTAGGTTGGTTCCACAGTCTTGCTATTGTGAATTGTGCTGCTATGAACATGGATGTAGCAGTGTCCCTGTAGCATGCTCTTTTTAGGTCTTTAGGGAAAAGACCGAGAAGGGGAATAGCTGGGTCAAATGGCGGTTCCATTCCCAGCTTTCCAAGAAATCTCCATACTGCTTTCCAAATTGGCTGCACCAATTTGCAGTCCCACCAGCAATGTACAAGTGTACCCTTTTCCCCACATCCTCGCCAGCACTTGTTGTTGTTTGACTTCATAATGGCTGCCAATCTTACTGGAGTGAGATGGTATCTTAGGGTGGTTTTGATTTGCATTTCTCTGACTGCTAGAGATGGTGAGCATTTTTTCATGTACTTATTGATTGATTATATGTCCTCCTCTGAGAAGTGTCTGTTCAGGTTCTTGGCCCATTTGTTGATTGGGTTATTTGTTTTCTTGTGGTTTAATTTTTTGAGTTCTTTGTATACTCTGGATATTAGGGCTCTATCTGAAGTGTGAGGAGTAAAGATTTGTTCCCAGGATGTAGGCTCCCTATTTACCTCTCTTATTGTTTCTTTTGCTGAGAAAAAACTTTTTAGTTTGAGTAAGTCCCATTTGTTGATTCTAATTATTAACTCTTATGCTATGGGTGTCCTATTGAGGAATTTGGAGCCCGACCTCACAGTATGTAGATTGTAGCCAACTTTTTCTTGTATCAGACGCAGAGTCTCTGATTTGATATCAAGCTCCTTGATCCATTTTGAGTTAACTTTTGTGCATGGCGAGAGAAAGGGATTCAGTTTCATTTTGTTGCATATGGATTTCCAGTTTTCCCAGCACCATTTGTTGAAGATGCTATCCTTCCTCCATTTCATGCTTTTAGCCCCTTTATCAAATATAAGATAGTTGTAGTTTTGTGAATTGGTTTCTGTGTCCTCTATTCTGTACCATTGGTCCACCTGCCTGTTTTGGTACCAGTACCATGCTGTTTTTGTTACTATTGCTCTGTAGTATAGTTTGAGGTCTGGTATCGCTATACCGCCTGATTCACACTTCCTGCTTAGAGTTGTTTTTGCTAATCTGGGTCTTTTATTTTTCCATATGAATTTCATAATTGCTTTCTCTATTTCTACAAGAAATGCCATTGGGATTTTGATTGGCATTGCATTAAACCTATAGAGAACTTTTGGTAATATTGCCATTTTGATGATGTTAGTTCTGCCTATCCATGAACAGGGTATATTTTTCCATCTTCTAAGATCTTCTTCTATTTCTCTCTTTAGGGTTCTGTAGTTTTCATTGTATAAGTCTTTCACCTCTTTTGTTAGGTTGATTCCCAAGTATTTTATTTTTTTTTTTTGAGGATATTGTGAATGGAGTGGTTGTCCTCATTTCCATTTCAGAGGATTTGTCACTGATGTACAGGAATGCCTTTGATTTATGTGTGTTGATTTTATATCCTGCCACTTTGCTGAATTCATTTATTAGCTCTAA